ATTTCATCTATAACAGTTAAAAAAAAAGTCGCATTCCGCTGTCTGTACGCTGAGATCTTATAGCCACACAACAGATTTTAATGCGGGTTCATCATAAATGATTCAAAAGGAAGATTTTTATGTATAATATCGGACCTCGCGGCCAAAGCCGCTGGCGGAGAGCTGGTATTGAATAAACTTGAATTCGAGGATTGTCTACGTTAAAACTTACTTATTATTAGTGTCCGACCGAAGGTCTATTTTTGGCCGAAGCCGAAGCCGAAGCCGATTATTCGGCAATCGCCACAACCTTCGGCAAAAGCCGAAGCCGAAGCCGATGGTTTATAATTTGTCAGTAATTAATTTTGTTGAATATTGTCTACAAGCTACAATTAATATTAAAATTATTTCAAAACTTCAATATTGAAGGTTATATTGACTGTCTCATATAGAAGTTGATTTAGAAATACAGATTTGACAGTGAAGGTGCTTGTGCACTACACTGAATTTTCATGTCCGGCAGTCCGATTTTTTCTGGCCTGATATGTTAAGCCATATATAGGTAATGCTAGCCTGTGCCAGGAATATTTTGCCTGTCTTCTACGTCTTCGCACGTACAGTAATAGAGCAAGCAATTACCAACGTTTCAAAAATCTCATCGTGCCTATTGTAAGTGACGTGTAGCTTCACAGAGAGCTACCCTAAAATGTGCCGCTCCGATCCGGAAAAAAACGGACAAGTACACAAGCTACTCATCCGAGTTTTTCATGTCATTCGGGACCGGAAAAAGTCGGCCCGCCGGACCTGAAAATTCATTGTAGTGCACAAGCGCCCTGACTCCCCGCGGCCTCTGCCAACACGACCGGTCCATCGCTCTCTCACTCAGTCTTTCGAAACAGTTCGTTCAATCTCGACGGTAGCTCGGACCTTCGGCGAAACCTTCGGCTTCGGCCTAGTTTTGGGCCGAAGCCGAAGGTTTCGCCGAAGATGGTTTTATTGGCCGAAGGTGCCCGATGCCGAAGCCGAAGCCGAAGCTTCGGTCGGACACTACTTATTATATAAGTGACTAGCAGACTCACTTATAAAAATCAACTAATCAACGTCTTTGCATCTGATTAACTAACCACTACTTAACTTCTTCAGCAGTCATTACATATTTCTTAGTTATAAACGCTACTTAAGAATTTGTTGACTAAGCAACGATAATTAAACGTATTTTTTTTTATTCTGCAAACACTGTATGAAAATCCCACCAAAAGTCAAATGGGTGCGTCATGAAATATGGAATTAAATAAATGACACGTCAGTGTTGTCAAAATCATTGCAAGAACGGTACATAGGTAATCTTTTTCGGTAGGTATTATGGATGATGATTTGTTTGTCCGTCAGGTAAATTTTTGAAGAATTTAAACACGATTATTTTATGTAATCAATAAATAACGGCGATATGTTGAGTTGAAATGTCACATGACGTCACATCTTTGTACATTTTCTACACAGTTGTGACGTAGCAAGCTCCTACTACTCAACTTTAATACCCATTATCTATGTATGTAATATCTTGTAGCCTCTACACGTGTATGAACATGTGATATAGGCTTTAATTTACGCATACAAAGCCGCGGGAAGACAGCTTATTCATATGAAAAACTTCTCACAGCTAATCGAAGCTAAACTAAGCATCATTATACGCTTGTGTTATGGATATTGGTACGCGTTCATTATTGTCAGTTTCAAGAACATCCATTTATAAATAGTCTAGTATATGTTACCAATTGAAATAAATTCAGACGGCATGACCATCGACAAAAAAATAACACAGGTACGTTTTATAGGTGATCAGCTGTCAAAGATCCGCCATTGTGGTAACACCCTACTAAGCACATAAACAAGGGTGCGGCCTTAATTAATTTGACAGCTATTTAACACGTTGCAAAGATGTGTTTTAACTTTAATGTTGTTGCTAAGAAATTGCTTAGCAGTGTCTTAATTTTAATCAACGTTCATTAGTAAGGCTGTAGATGTTTGCCGAGACTTCGCTTGCGTGAATTATATAACCTATGTGACCCGAGTATGAAGTAGCTTCCCGCAGGTGAAAGAATTTTTAAGATCAATCCTTTAGTTTCGAAGCTTATTGATGCAAACAAAAAAACAATCAAAGCTTTCCTCTTTAAATTATTAGTATAGTATTAATACTCGTATGTTTCATAACCCATAAAAACATGTTTAACGACATGTTTATAATAAAATAATAATGCATATTGCACGTTTTGGTGTCAAGAAGCGCGTTGTTGTGCTAGGTTATGGACGAGGCGAGATGAACGACCGACAAATAAACCTGTTTCACCTATGATATTTGAATGCCAGCATAAGTATCAATACGTATATAGACAATAAACGGAAATAAATACAGTTTTTTATTGTTTTGGGTGTGTTTCATATACTGTTACTGATAATCACGCTTTTATGCTTAGTATATTTGTAATATTGCTTAAATTGATTAAGAAAAAAGAAATATTTCATACTTTTCTACTTGTTGACACGTGACTGCAAACAGCGCGTGACGCCACGACCCTATTAATATCAGAACTTAGAATTGAACTTTATGCTTACATAGAATGATATTAGTTTTAGAATGGCGTAACGTCATAGAGAGGCCATGACAGAAGATGGCGTATTCGCGCGGAATTTTGAAAAAGAAGTTTATTTTCAGATTTTAACTTATTATCACCCATTTTCACTAACCTAGAATAAGGCTTAGCTTAACTAGGAAACGCCTAATATTACGAATCGCCTTAGCAGAATAGTTTACTTTCAAATAAATATTTTTTCTTTTATCCGCTGACATATTTATGACCTGTTATATACGCAAATACCTAGCGTAAAGCGCCGCATAACAAATAAATTTTAGACATTGCTTAATTTCGTGAGGTGGTCAATGGTGAAATGCATTTTTACCTTAGGCGATTCCTTAATATTTAGGCGACAGATTTGGGCGACTCCTAAGTTTAAAACGGGCGTATATGAATGATCCTTTTCATATATATAAGACTTCATATATCTTTAAAATAAAAATGAAAAAAAAATCGTATACGTCCCTATTCTGTATGATGAACGGACTTTGCTATATTATAATACAGTTTCATTATCACCTCTATATGTCAGAAGATATAGTTAAAATACTTTTATATCTCATTGTTTGTTGTTGCTGTCATCTAAAAGAGACGTGAGGGTTTAATTTATGAAAGTACATACATATAAACCTTTCAACTTTCAATTTTACCAATTTTTACTTTATACAAAACACACAAGTTTTTTTTTATTATTAGAAATTGAAAGTCCCTTATCTTCCAATTTTACGTAAATTCTTCTGGTTCCGAGATGTCAGATGACGTCGCGTCGGTTCTTACTAAGTAACAGACATCCACAGGCACTGAAGACGTCGTTATTGTATCGTCTGTCAGTAACAATTACTTATTCAAACGCCCACTCCTCGATACCTATTGAGTTTTATTATCGCCAATTGAAACATGCAATTTATCTAGTCCCATGTAGGATCAAAAGTTCAAAGGAATTAATTAATCGGTGGACTTTCTCACTGTTTTATAACTTACAAGAATATAGCTCAGCGGTCAGTAATTTTCGATTATATGAGTTATGATTTCTCCGTTTATTTTCTTTCCTAAGGAAGCTCGTGTGTTGAATTCTTCCAACAGAATTATAAATCAGTAATCGATGCTGTGTAAACGAATGTGGTATGTTCGAAAATACCGAATAGTCCGGTGATAGAAATACAAAGTACAAATATTTCTAAGATGGGTATCCGTTATTTTAAGATCATCGGTAACAATGAAAGATATTTAAGCTGAATTTGCAAGCTTAGATGCCTTACAATTTAGAAACTCCTAATTGATGAGTGACTAGTTAATGATAACAATAAATTCACATATTGGCATATCTGCGTTTACTTGACAGCGGTGTTTTATTGAGATATCACATTGGCTTTTATTATAAAAGTTCGGGAAACTTGAAAAACGTCAAAATATAGATAGGATTTTCCACCCAATAAACCAGCTGATACTGATATGGCTACAGAAGCAGTCTATTCGCTCTTCTTCGTTTATTCGCTCATAGTATCTATCACATTCAACATAGTCAAAGGATGTCCAATTCACATTTGATTTACAATTAACAGTCTAGTCCATATTGTATAGTGCAACATGCAACTAGAAGTGCAGCTGTTGGCCTAATTTGTGAACGGTGCAGCGCGTCGGCGCCGGTATAGTCGGTGCCATGTCGCAAAGGCCACTCACTATGTATCTCGGCCGAGAGTGGCAATAAACAAGTCTGCTGTGTAAACCGCCCGTTGGCTGTTGTGGCGCGGACATTGGCCCTGTACTATGGGCCTGGGTCAAACGGTTGGCTTACGGCGATTCACGCGTGCTAAGCTCAATATTACTGTGCTATGACAAGATCGATGACTTCACAACATATAATTGAGATGACCCTGTATGTTTAACTGATTACTATTATTTAAATTGTTCGGACAATTCTCATGTAGTTCGGACTTATTGCGACCGGAAAGCTTTACATTGGTAACATAGTAGCGGTTTTAACAATGTTCGTTGTTATTTACGCGGCTCGTGAATGTACAAAATTGCGTTAACTGCCTGCTTACAAAGTGCCAGGCGAGATTTCTTCCAGGCCTTTTACAAAGTCAGGTTTATTGTAGAATAAATTGGCATTAACGTCCGCTTGCATGTTAATTTTATATATGGGGTTGGTGTCTGATGTTTGTAAAGTGAGGTGCAATTTAGTACTGGTTGTTCGATGTGAGGAAATCAAACTTAATATTTTTACATGTGCACCAGGTTATTGGTCCACGGTATCGAACTGTTTTCTGAGAAGTAGACCGTTAATCCTGACTTTGCTCCGTATTCTAGTAAGCACGACATATTAATTTTATAAGGTCCTTCCTGAAAATGATATTTGTCATTAACTTGAAGTGTTTGGTGTTGTAGATGCTGCTGGAGAAGAGGCTTTGCATCCTGGGAGCGGAGCTTTCGCAGTGGGACACATTTGAAAGAATGCTCCGGTTCACCGGATCGCAGTTGCGGCTCCTCAGGTGCTTTCAGGTAATCCTCACTAAAGCTGAGAGCATTGATACTATAAGATCAAGATTTTCTTATAACTACCATGTTTTCATTTTTATTACGAATGCGAATCTTTCTAACCTTAAGAATCATGTTTACGGAAACCTACCATTGTATACTAAATAAATATTAACGATATCAATATGCACATGTGTTTATTTGCGTTATATTCAGTATCGCAATCTCATTGAGTACTATGTAACGTAGCGGACTGCTTCTATTGTATGTACATTGTTTTTGGTTTCCGTACCTAAAGGATGCCAATTGGACCCTATTGATATGTTTCCGCTATCCGTCTATGCGTTCCGTTTGTCTATCACGTAGATACTTGATAATAAAAAAACCCTTGTTCATCTATCGCGATGGATAAATAATAAAAAAAAACGATAAATCTAATCCAACCACGTTCAATCTTTTAAACCGTAATAGGTAAACACTTGAAATTTTTTCAAGAGTACGTGTTCACTTTGTTATTAAACGGTCGTTTTTATAACAATATCAAAACGTATTATTGTGCTTGAAAACAATATGTTTAAATTCATTATAATAGTATAACATTACGCTATATTCAATCGTTATTTAATTTTACATATATACTTGTTTTAACTTACAAATAGTTGTACCCTTGTTCACTTGACACCTGGCAGTTACGTATCTGTCTATATTTGCATATCAATTAATTTTGTGTACTCTAATTTATGGTATGTGAACATGTGCTGAATAGATTTGCGCACTACCCGTGTATTACGCAAAAATATTTTCTAATAGGTAATTTAATTAAAGCAATAAATATTTGCGTAGCAATTCAATAAATATCTAACGTTATGTACGTTTTAAATCGATCGAGTAACTTTATTGTTTTACATTTTAAATGAGTCATTTTTATTCTCTGAGTACGTTTTGTATGGTTTATGATTATAAGCATAATATTGAAATTAGAATTCTACAATGATAAGATATTGTGGTTATCTCGACGATAAGTAGTTCAAGAACTCCTTTATGATTTCTTGACCCCTAGAATACACGCGTTCTATAATATCTTCGTCAATAGTGGACGGATTTTGATACTCATTATGTTTTGTTTGTTTGGTTTTGTTTTATATAAAAAACTAGTTGTTTTCACCCTCGTAATTTAATGTCAGTCAGCCCGGGTATGATATAGCTCTGATAGATTAAAGAAGTTTTAAAACCGCTACATTTGTGGTGTTAATGAAACATTACTAACTATTGAGTTACAATATTTTTTTTTTATTTATCGGCGAAGCGAGAAATTATATTATATACGGTCAAGTAACTCAATTCCCTCCTAGATTTTTTTGTATTGGCGCGAAATGAGAAATATTTGTTATTATAATAATATAATTTATTTCTTTTCACCAAAAGTTGTACAGTAGGTTTTTTATATACTATGAATAGGACAAACATTCACTCAAGTGTGGAAAGCTGGTGCCTGCTATAGGTTTCCAAAAGAAACCGGTTACACGGGTCACCAGGGCTTCCCCCGCATAAGTAAACAATGCCTAGTAAAAAGATAATTAAAAAAGGAAATACAAAAGTAGTTTTAATATAGAGTTCACATTTTGCTTTGTGTGTGTATGTATTTGTGTTTGCGTGTGTGTCTGTTTGTGTGCGTATTGCATGAGAGTGCGCGTGTGTAAGAGTACGTATGTGTTTGAGAATATACATTTATATTTATACCAGGGTAACTCATTTGGAAGTGGCTGATTAGCAATATGATAATTGTATTTTTATTATTTAAGGGGTATAAGAAGAGCTTCAGTGGATTGGTAATCTAATTCTCGAAGGTAAACTGTAACAGTTTTTTTACAAAGGGCTCTAGGAAGTGGATAAATAGATATTTAAAGTCAAGTTTAATTTATTATAAAGGTAACTACCCAAGAAACCAAAAAATTTATGGGATGTAGTTGTTCTGTGGAGTGTTTTTAAACAAACAGCACGTTTCCTACGTTTGTCCTTGAATAACTGTGGATCGTAATTCAATTCAATGTGTTTCCTTAGAACAGTGTGCAAGACATAAGTTTGCCTGACTGTAAGCACTTCCCACTCTCTATAGAGGTCTCCTGTAGGGAATCGAAAGGGAAAACCAGCAGCCACCTTAAGAATTGCGCGTTGCACTCTCTCTACTTTAAGAAGATCGGACTTTCCAACACCACCCCAGACCGAGATGCAATATTCCAGAAGTGATTGACACAGTGCGGAGTACACCATTTTGATTGTCTTTCGATCAGCTACGTGTTTAAGGGTTTTAAATATATAAATAAGTTTCCGTAATCTGGGTACAAGGTAACTGATGTGAGGCCTAAATGTAAGAGTTTGATCCAGAATTACTCCTAAGTACTTTAGGCTACTGGTTCTTTCCAAGGTAGTACAAGCGCAGGAGGCATGATAGCGGACGCATTTGTGAGAAGTGATCTGGAGAGTATCTGAAGGAAGTTGGGAGGTCCTTAATGCGAATGCCATATATTTGGATTTAGTGACATTAAGAGTTAGATCATTACGGATCAGCCACCAGTCCACTTTATCAAGACCTTCCTGGGCATTATGAAAAGCTTCTTCCCAATTAGCTCCACTAAAGAGAAGAGCAGTGTCATCGGCGAAAGCATAGATTTCACCTCCTTGAAGTTCCATGTTAGTCAAGTCATTGAGGTAAGCAAGGAACAGCGTTGGGCCAACTATACTGCCCTGGGGTACACCGCAAGAGATCAGAACCTCATCGCTCATCCAATTGTCTATCTTAACCATTTGTGTTCGGTCTGTGAGGTAATCTTCAAAGAGTTTTAAAGGAAGACCTCGCACTCCAAGGCGTTCCAATTTCATAAGAAGATGTGGTATCGGGACAGTGTCAAATGCCTTAGCTAGATCAAGGAACACAGCGACACATCGTCTCTTTACGTCTAGCGCCTTAACTACGGAGTTTACGAGACCTAGGACCGCATCACAAGTAGACTTGCCGCGACGGAAACCATATTGTGACGATGAAAGTAGATTATTTGTCTCCAAGAACCCGATCAATCTGTCATTCATTGCCCGCTCCAGGATTTTAGAAAGCGTCGGCAAAATGGAAATAGGTCTAAAATTCTCAACCCGATCTTTTTCACCACCCTTAAAAACCGGCTTTATGAGAGCTGATTTAAATACAATTGTAAAACATGTGTACATAAAGTTTCACCACGCACACTCGTTTGTATGCTTTTTTCTTCCTTACTTCTGCTATGTTATTTTAAACAGTAATTGATTGATAACGATTATATTTGCAGGCGGTGATCGAACACGGTACCAAACTGTCAGCGGAGGTGACCAGCTCGTACCTCCACATGTGTGACGCTGGGGAGCGCACGAACAATGCTCTCATAGAACTAGGCCTACGGATAGGTGAGTTACACCAACGTCGCTTACCGTTGCCGCCATCTTGAGACAGTTATTTTTCTTTACGCCCTTTCCTTAGCGGGTAGGGTTGCCAGGTCGCAAAACCCAATAATCGTACAGACCAGCCACTTTGGCTGGACATTTTGGGTAGAAAGGCCGTTCACCCCACATTACTGAGGATTTGTGTCTCTGTATTATATGTAAAATCAAGCTTTTTTTTATTATCATCATAAAGGGGCTGTCCATTAATCTCGTGATACTCGAAAGTATACGTACTAAAAATACACGTGATTTTTAGTCTTAAATCTGAATTATTCAAGTAATACTTATTTCGTTCAAACTCACTTAAATTAATGTATCGTTTACGAATCAGGGCTCTCACACATCACACACGCTCTCACACGATTGCTGTGAATTCCTTTTGTGACAGACAACTAATTGTATCGTCGATGTTGACGTAACGAATCCTGTCGATTTACGAAAACGCAACGTAATTCGGACGTGATAAAAACAACGTCACCGTAATGACGCTTTCTATCACGCCTCCAAGCATGATGTGTATTTGATTCATTCGGGTGTGAGATCGCCCTTAGTCGTAATAGTCGTAATCTTAATAATTGTTATCTTTCAATCTAAACCTGAAATGACACAATTTGTTCTGGTATTGTTTTAGGTGATTTTCTAAATGAAGCCGGGTGGTATGCGGACGCGCAGAATGTGCTGCTGCGGTGTCGGGACATCTGCCAGGCGCAGCCACAGACCACATACTATAAGCGACTAACATTAGAATGTTGTCATAGGTGAGGTGGCACTTTATATTATTTACTTAAAATTAAATTAATCCGAAAACCCAACACTGTTATTAAAGGATCTATCCTTAGTCGTCGAAACGTCATAATCAGATTACCAATGAGGTACGGTAATTCACTCATTCATTCAGACAAGCCATGGGGCTTGAAAGGCGATGTGTGGCTATTTTATTGCTGAAGTACTGTTTATACTAGAGCGTCCCCACCACGATTTGAGCACCATCTCATAAAAAACGCTGCACGGAAAGTTACGTCAAATTCCTACAATTTATTTTGAACTCTACCCTTTACGTATTAAGGTTTAAAATTATATGGAAAATTGAAAGATTTTGTATAAACTGACATGCTGTCGTTAATCATAATTTTATCACTCTAGAAGTGGAAATACCCTGATATATAAATGGCCTGTGGAGGGGGGGGGGGGTGTTTCCAAATGAGCTGCAGCTATCCGCCAAAATCATAATATATAATAAAACTAAAGACGTATGGGGTGGGGGGGTGTTGTTTAAACGTAATATCAAGTCTTTATGCCCTGGTTGGCAAACGTTATCGATCCAGCCCTATTGCAGCCCTGGGCCTCCGCCACCATAATAGCATCGACTTATTGGTGTCGTCATAATAAATCATACATAAATGTATTTATGCGTCAATATTTTGTTTTCGTGCAAGTTAGGTATGCCGATTAGGGTTACCACCCGTACTTTATAATAAAGTATTGAACGTTATTTCAGACAATTGTACTCTATACTATATGAGAACAATAAAGTACACGAAAATACTTTATTTCGAGTCAAGCTGAATCGATAAAATATTTTTAAGTTTAATAATAAAGAAAAATAAATATTACTTTATTTTGATTCTATGTCCTTTTTTCTGTACCAATAATAACTAATGTACTCGTTCTTTAATTGGAAAAAAAGGTGGCAACCCTAATACTGATCGTAATCATAACGACGCGTTTCAAGTTCGGCGAACTGTTTCGATTTATTGTGACGCTCCAATGTCAATATGCAAAATATTTAAGAACTGCGCCGCATCTCTAGCAGATTTGTAAATACCTATATTAAAGGTAGACTGCTATTTTAAATGTCAATTATATTCTATAATTAAATATGGAAGGTAAAATTCTACGTCTCATAATAGTTATTAAGTGGTCTGTTTCTATTACTAATATTTGTAGTTCTATCTCTATTAGTCAGTGGCAGATTATCTTTCAGGCAAACTATTGCCAACTTTCAACGCCATATTGAAAGTGACGCAAGATTTGACTAAAGAAATTTCACGACTTATGTTTTTTGAAAATCAGGTGCTAACATTAGCAAAAACACTAGAATCTAAAACATATACATACATACTATTAATATTAAGTGCCTCGCGTCTGTGTATATATTGGATAGTATTGTTATCTTTTGTTTAATTTGTCGTATCTGTTTTGTTATGTTTATTTAATCATTTACATGAGGAAGTGGCAGCGCCCCATTGTCCTTAATTTTATTCTTGAGGGAATTGAATTCGTTTCGAATCCACTTATGTCACTCCGTAAATTTAAATAAAATCTCCGTAAATCTTTGATTTCAGAATGTCCAATTCCCAAAACGTGTACCGGTTTAATAATATCCAATTTAGTATATGATGGGATTTTTGAATACACTGAATAATAAGAAGCAAGCTTCATAGTTGAATAGTCCTCATATCTTGTCTTAATAATATTAAACATTAATCTTGCTACATTTTATTTATCTGTGTATTGTAATATGTATGTCGTGGGCCAATCGCTGAATTGGGCCGATCGAGATCTGTCCGGGCATGTCAATATATGCCGCCATTTCTTGATCTGGCCAAGACTAAGGCCCGGTAAAAAATTTGGCAGGTCGACCATAACATAAGGGTAACTGACACTGATCTGTGAAAATATTATAATTAAGAAATATGATATTCTATGTACTTTGAATGTATTTAAATAAAGATAATTTTGAAACACTGATCGCTTCTTAGTAATCATAGTAAAAAACAAATATAACAGCCTTTTTATTAACTATAGGTCAAATAATTATTATTTAGACTTAATTTTATTTGCTTACATACAGAGATAGGCGGTAGGAAAAGCCCGGATTGTTGCCCATCTCTGCTTACATAGTTTTTGGTCACCCTATACTTACACCCATACTTTGGTCACCCTACAAAATTGATTGGCCTGAGTATATCGGGCAAATCATCAAACGTTAAGCATTGAGCGACATGGCGGATGATAGATGGCCAAATTAAGAAACGGCGGCATATCGTGATTTGCCCAGGCAGATCTCGATCGGCTTAATTTAACTATTGGCCCACGACATATGATATTTCTCTCATCGATCCGCGTCCGATGCTTTCGAATTGAAATATTGTCTGTTTTTGTGCAGGTTATTGAACACACAGTCAGCGTACTGCTGTTTCCCGGCGGCGGCGGAGACATACTTACTGGCGCTGCGGCTGCTGGGGCTGGAGGAGGAGGTCCGCGAGGAGCACCTGGGCGGGCCCTACGCCGCCGCCGAAACGCGCGACCAGAGCACGCAGACCGACCTGCCATACACCTGGTGACTATATACATAAGTATATAGGTATACAATACACATACACACCACACCCTCATCGAGGGGTAATAAGGATGATCCTATCAGTCTATTAGATATATATATTTTTGCTTCGATTTAACAAAAAATTGCTCAGATAATAGGCGTTAAAGTTGTGTCGCACGCTACGTCACAACTATGTAGAAAATGTACACAGGGTTGAGACGTCATACGATATTTCAACTGAATGTATCACCGTAATTTTTTGATTAGGCGAAAAAAATTTATTAAATTTTCTTCAATATCTATTCTTCAAAATCTGAAACAATTTTATATGAAACGGAGTCGGAACTTTTAAAAGGTACAATATTAATAAAGACATTTTATTAAACTAATCAATCAAGATGTATCAAAAGTTAGTAAATACTCACGGTCAGTTGCACAAACGTCCATTAAAGGTTAATTGACGCTTTTAAGCTCTAATAAATGTCAAATTTGTATGGTTATGTGACGGGTTCGGTGCTTGGGTCAATAAATAAGGCTGATTAGCTTGAGTATAGATTTATTAATTATATAAGGATAAATAAGAAACTGTAACAAACAAAAATTAAATTTAAAAAACAGTTCGTAAGTTACTTAACTAATACATACAAATTATCAAATAAACGAATACATACCCCTTGTCGGGCTTCTAGTTAAACTCTTGGATCGTCCAAAATACAGATTGCAATTTAGTACATATGTTATATAATTTGTATCACAATATCACATTCTTTATCACAATCAATAAATTATTTTAAAATTACATAATAAAATTTATACGATTAATACTGTATATTAATTTTCATGTTGTGCATAGAAGAATTTCTTACGAACTGACATCCATAAAGAGTATAATTGATTAGTCAAAATTTTAAATTACGAAAGACGAATAATAAAATGAAATGATGTTGAATTTCAAAAACAAAAAGTTTGCATACTGAAACCTAGGAAAACAAACGGTGGCATGGCACACCGTTACAGTTAATACCACTTTAAACTAAAGACAATTTTAATGGACGTTTTGCAACTGGCTGTCACTCTGTAAACTGACATACAAATATTAATGTTTATTACAAGCTTTTTTTAAATATAAAAAATATGAATACTGTGCAATGACTTAATAATTAACACAAAATTTAATAAAAACATAATAAAACCTTTCAGTAGGAAACATGATTTAAGCAAATCAGGTCCATAACGTTATGCAATTCGGATTAAAAAAAAATTTTCTTGCATTTAAAAAAAAACAATAAACATGTTTTACTTCGCATTCACTTTTTTCATTGACAAAACAAACAAAATAAAATCGATGCTATAACATGATTACTGTGTCAGATAACCAACCATAGACACTGGACAATAAATAAATTACCATTATAGTTACCTTTATAAATAAATCAATTGTCGACACCTCACTGAGTTGAAATTTTGTACTTATCATGATGTATCGCCGTATATCAACCACACTACTCTCGCACTCTTGGACATAATAATAAAATTGAAAGTAAACACTCTCTTCTATCATCACCAAACAAACAGTAATTTCCATTATGACAGATGACATGACGTCACCCGCACGACGCTGACCTTTCACAATCAAACAGGTTTATTACTATTACCAGAGGTGGACATGAATGGTGTGATGCAATAGGTGTAGTGCAGTGTAAACATATTGTTCTTGTAATTCTTACATATTATTGTTATAACGTGTACACAATGCAGTTAGATATGAAACCTTTTTTTTGTAAGGCCACCTTTTTCAAGTGCAGTTTAAATATCTATTTATTTTTTCTTGGAAAACTCAAGCTCAAATTAAAATTATATAGAAAATATTTTTTATAATAAAACAATAAATAATTCAGTCATATTATTCTACACATTTTTTTATGTGTTTCTCATACGTCGAGCTATCTATTTCCATTATAGTTGTAGAGGTAAAGTACGATAGTATAATACGCGCCAATGGCTATTGAAAAATAAGTCGAATGCGATAAGCTAAATACGATTGATAACGAAACAAGAAATGTCGAGACTTAAGTAAAAACCTTATGAATTGAATATTAAATTACATACAATTTTTTTTATTCGCGATTGGCAAATATGTATATTTTATGTTTGAAATAAGTTGAAAGTTTAATAACAAATAATTAAAAAAATACTCATATCTGTATAATTGAAAAATAAACTTACAATCCTACATAGTCCCAGCCCCCAATCTACGATGTTTTTTTCCCAAGTGGGGCAGATAGTAATAGTGAATAACGGATCTCGTTTCAATAACCATAAAGTAACAAATCTTTCATACGGTTAGATGTATGGATCGTCCAAAAGCGCCCGCCCGAATATTTAGCTTATCGGGTAGGTATATCGGTGCGCCGCATTAATTGTAGGAAGAAAACAGTATAGGATGGTTGGTGTTGCAGCGCAGACAGGGTGGGCGGGGCGGAGTGCAGCGGGTTCAGTAACGTGGGGCGCGAGGCGGCGTGGGGCATGGGCGCGCTGGTGGCGCGGCTGTTCAAGGAGTTCTCGACGCTGTTCTTCGTGCGCTGCGACTACAGCGCCGCGCACACGTGGAGCATGCGCGCGCTCAAGCTGCTCACGCCATACACGCCAGTCAAGTTAGTCCACGCCCGCTGACTACTAGTTGCATGATGGGGACAGTTCTATCAATCAAACGGAAAAGGGAGAACGGAGGGTTAATTTAGAATCTATTACAATTCTTTTCAATTTGAATTATATTGTTGTTTTAATGCTATTTAGAATCGGCTAAGGCAGGAATTATATTCTCAATACAAGGTCTCCCGCCGTAGATTTACGAACCGATGACGTAGCTCTCGACATTTAGAAGTGCTTGTAACAGCCTAGACTGAATAAATAAGTTTTTTTTTTATTTATATGCAAATATTTTTGGAAGCTATTCAGAAATATCGAACGGGAGAGTGGAATGCTAAATGCGATCTTTCGACGAGTTTAGCTACATATATTTTTTTAATTGTTTCTCAAAAGCGATTGCAACTTTAAAGGTGCATAATTCCATAAAACGTTACCACAATCGCTTCAACTTCGAAAGGGATCGCGGTAGATTTTGAAATCGGACAGGTCATCAGCCACCACGCACCGGGGGGTGTCAAAAGCTGCAGATACAGCTGGAATCTGGGATTCTATAGTTTCGGACAGTGTCTGTGTACGTGTGTATGTGGCAGGATCAGCATCGAGGTGATCCGCGCGTGCGGCAAGGCGTGCGTGGTGAAGCGGCGGTTCGCGGACGCGGGGCTGCTGGTGCGGCGCGCGGTGGGCGTGGCGCGCGCGGCGTGCGGGCGCGCGCACCCGCGCCTGGCCGCCGCGCTGCTCGACCACGGCTTCTACCTGCTCAACATCGACTCCATCGCGCACAGCGTCGCCGTCTACGAGGCGAGTCGCACGCGCCCCCACTATATTATGTTTCATTTAATACTAGCTCGTGAGCATGATTTGTATTTGTATAATGCATATTGGATTACTCAAAATTTCAAATTACGGAAAGTGAATAATAAAAATAAATGATGAGGAAGTTCTAAGACAAAAAGTTTGCCTAGACGGTGATCCGACTCACCGTTAAACTACATATGTATTGAATTTCTCGGCAACGTCTATTGAAACGATTCAAAAGTTTATGTCGTGATGAAATAGCACACTGTATAAATGTGTGAGTGTAGAATATTAATGCCCCCTATAGGATTCGGAGATATGACTTATCTTAGATACAAGTATTTGAAATACAGATACAAGATACAAAATACGTATTTTCATCTTGTATCTAAAATACTTTTTTTAGGAAGAATTTATATCTTCTATTTAAATACTTTAGTTTAATATCTTAGTATCTTTTAAATACTTTTTCTGATAAAATACTTTATTAAAAGATTGTTTCTTACATTTTATAAATATCATTGCCTAAAACATACATATCTACAAAAAGAAAGTGTCCAATTATCAACGCAATGAATATTTAGTTAAAAATAACTTGAATCCAAACATTGTTTGATGTCATTTGGTAATTTTTCTCTGTAATTTTCTCATCTGGTCTACATCGTAATACGTCGTCGTACGTAAAACCAGCTTTTTAAATAAATAATAATTTTATAATTAAATTTAAATAATTATTCTTGTTGTTATATTTGAGCAATTTTTCATTCACAATACTATATCGAAAAAACTTATTATTAAAAAGGAACTAAAATTTTTTAAATAATTTAAACTTGATGTATTAAATATTTGCATTTTTATATAATACATTGTGATTGACAAACAAAAAAAAACATTTCAGGCTTTTTTAATTTGTTATCTCCAAACGGAAAAAAGTGGGTGAAATTTAGCTTGTAAGATTTGAGTATAAACACCGGTACAGGTGAAACTAAATAGAAGCTTGTAAAAATTTTTTCTAATGAAAAATGCTTAAAAAATCCATTCTATTTTGTATCTAGTATTTCAAATACTTTTCTCGAAAGTATTTCGTATCTGGTATCTGAAATACTTAATTTAAAAGTATTTTGTATCTTGTATTCCAGATGCAGGGTATTTTGTACATCTCTGATAGGATTACACTTACTATATCAATCAAACTTAAACAATAGGATGAATTTTAATATTTTTAAATATTACTTGAGCGTATTCCGTGCATGTTGAATAATATGCAGTACTGTGTTTGTTGTGTTACAGGAGGCGCTGTCGATGTTGCGCGGCGTGTACGGGCGCAGCAGCCTGCACGTGGCGACGGCGCAGGAGGACCTCGCGTACGCGCTGTACGTGCTCGAGTACTCCTCCGGGCGGTTCTACAAGGCGCGCGACCACGCCGAGCGCGCCATCCGCATTATACAGGTGACCGTACTCGTTTCCAATTTCATACTTGAACTATTGGCACAATCGGAGCAAAATGAGTCGGAGCACAACTTTTGGTAAGTACATGCTCGAATAAAACGTTTGTCTATGGATACTCTCCAATGTATGTTTATAACTTGTACGAATTTACATAACTCCTAAAAGCCTATATCTCCTATATATATTTAATCTCGAATGAAAATTCAGAATGTTTCGATACATTCTTATAATTTCGTTACACTCATATCCGTGAAGATTGGTGGATCTGAGGCAGCGTCAGGTCCTGCTTCCGTAGCATCATAAACTATCGAAGAATTCTTTCTTTGGATACCAGCATTTCGCAAATAGACGAAGTTTTTGGGTGATCGAATAGGCCCTCTGGTGTCATGTTAATGCGTTGGCAAAGATGCATTGATTGCATAGGTTAATAGAAATGAAAAATATAGAAAAAAAATTCGCTTCATTTATTTCATGAAAAACGGCATTTTCACAGGTAGAGAAAGACCTAATAATTACTGTTTATTATATTTTCGTTTTTATGATGATAATAATAGAGTTGAAGTGCTTGAGTTTGATATATTTTGAATGAAGTGTATATAATATGTGTACAGAACTTGGTGCCGCCGGATCACCTGCTACTGGCGTCGGCCAAGCGCGTGAAGGCGCTGATACTGGAGGAGATCGCACTGGACACGCCCGCCGGGCAGGACATGAGCGGTATATATCACACGACCAATCATAATAGTTGATCGAGTGCTATCATATATAATCATGATAAACCACCAAATTTATCTATATCAGTGTGAGCTAGATTTTATATTTTTATTTTTAAATCATCATCATTATCAGCCCTTTTTACGTCCCCACTGCAGGGGCTCAGGCCTTCCTTATGGATGGTTAAGGAGGATGGGCCATGACCCTCCACGCTGGCCCAATGCGGATTGGAGGGTATTAACGACTGCAAATGCACTCGGGACCAACGGCTTAACGTGCCTTCCGAAGCACGAAGTAGCTCGAGATAATAATTTTTTGGTCACCCATCCCGTGACCGACCCTTGCGAAAGTTGCTTAACAACAACAATCGCGGGGCGCGGCGCTTATCCTCTACGCGTACGAGCCACTTACTTATTTTTAAATCGGAATATTTTCTGCCTGTTGCACAAACGTCCATTAATATTGTCATTAGTTTTGTTTTAAGTGTCTGACGTTCGGTTGCATAATCGTTAGTTAAGTTTTAAAGACGACTAGCTCTAATGAAAGTATAATTTTTTAAAAATTGTATTTGTATGTGTAATGTCGCTCTAAATTAATGACAATTTAAATGGTTTATGCATTTGAGTGATATCCATACAAATTATCAAATTTAGAACATTCTTTAGAGCTTTAAGTTGTTATCAAACCTTTGGCAGCATTTGTTTAAAAATTTAATGAACATCAAAATTGACATTCATCATAAATTTCGTAAAATAATTATAACTTATAAACAATTATCTAAGTAACTTTCGTACATATAAACGCATCCTGTATTTATTTAAAGTTTTATCAATATATAGTATTACGATTTTTTTTCTAGTATCTATAAAATTTACAAATTGGCGCTTAGACCAATTCCTTTAACCGCCAATACTTGCCTATTAATTTAAAACTGCATCCTATGTGTTACTACATATTATTAAAATTTTTATTACTACCCCCTAATAAATTATTGTATTCTCTTACTGTCCATATTATTTACGATGTGCTTTCAGAATTAAATCTTTAGCTTATCGTGACAGTTTTGTAATTAATGAATAAGTAACTGTTTTAAGTGAATTGTAACGAGTATTTGTGAGGTGGAGGACTGACTACTTGCGATTCGGGGTTTACCCTAGTGCTGGTGTCAGTCCACCGTAGTCGACTATGTGATACACTGTTATTCCCATGTAATTCAAAGGATGATTATGATGAGGATTAAATGATTATTATATTATTATATACATATAATAAATTTGCAATTAATTTTTGTCCAGAGCCGAATCTACTAGAAGAATCTGAGGCGTTACATAAGGCTGCGTTGTCGTTATCTATGATGGCGTTCGGTGAGAACAACGTGCAGACCGCGAAACACTACGGGAACCTCGGCAGACTGTACCAGAGCATGCAGAAGTTCCAGGTATTATATTGTTTTTTTCCTTCAAATTCTTGAAATTTCAGCAGTTAATAGTCTACTATATTAAAGGTACAATTTCTCGTACCTTTAATATGGCAGTATAGTAACTATAGTAACTGAGATAGTAACTAATTAACTTGCTCACTAATTTGTGTGTTTACGTGTAAACTTACCATTAAGTTCAAAGCTTTTTTGCTTTTTTTTATTATTATTATAAAAAAAATACTTAGTCAGGAATGCAATTACGATTTAGTACGCAACGGCGTTTTTATTCTGTTGTAATATCGGAAATAAATACATAGCATTTCTGATAAAAATAAAAATGTCGTTACCCTTTTATATATGTATTGATTATTAATATAGTAGTTCATATAAAACAATGTAGCCTTTCGCCAGCGACTTCGTCCGCGTAATCTAGTTTTAAGTCCAGAAATGAGAAAATTCCATAAAAACTTTCATCCCCTAATTTACCCTCTTAGGGGTCGAATTTCATAAAATCCCGTCTTAGTGAGACCTACGTTCTAAAAACACTTTTACTTTCTGATATTTCGTGATGAATAAATGAGTGACCTTTAGCTATATATATATATATATATATATATATATATATATATATATATATATATATATATCTCTAATAATCGAGGACCTGTCTGTTTATAGTTAAGATTGTCATTGAGTGTTATTAAGTTAAGTAACAAATAAATAAATAACGTTTGTCATCGTTTGATACAGGACGCGGAGACGATGCACCTGAAGGCCATCGCCATAAAGGAGGAGCTGTTGGGCCCCGACGACTACGAGGTGGGGCTGAGCATCGGCCACCTCGCCTCCCTCTACAACTACCACATGAACATGCACCACGCCGCCGAGCAGCTCTATCTGCGCTCCATATCCATCAGTTAGTATACACTGTACACTGTACACTGCGCTAGTTCAGCGTGGGCCATGCGGTGTTAGCGTATTAACGTCACGGGACTGATGGCGTAATGTGCCTTCCGAACGGCAACTCGAGATAATAATCTTTTGGTCACCCATCCCGTGACCGACCCTTGCGAAAATTGCTTAACAACTACCGAGCTACTCTACTATTTGGGAGGCATTATGGTCTAATTATTTGCCCTACTCACAAAAAAAATACGTTTTGTTTCTTGGTTTCTTTCGTCTTTGGCAAAATTACATACGTACAGTTAGTTTTTTATTTTGTTGAGTTTGATTTTGATTGAGCCGCGTGATGTTGTATTATACATCTAAACCTTCCATTGGCATCACTCTATATTAAAACTGCATTAAAATCTGTTGTGTAGTTTAAAAGATCTCAGCGTACAAACAGCCGGAAGAGACTTTGTTTTATACTATGTACAAATATTATGATCGAAAAATAGTATAAATAAAATTCGCTTTCTTATTCTATCAGTTTTAACTTTTAATTCTAACAACGGGTTTGGATGCAATTTTAGATAGAAACTCTCCTTAAAATATATAATAAACGTCGAACCAAAACTTAAAAAAAAAATTATATCAAACTCTACTGTGATGGTGATAAGTTAGGTTTCAACTGCTTTTATTTTGATACGGTGAAGGTCTGAAGTTGTTCGGCGAGCGGTACTCCGGGCTGGAGTACGACTACCGCGGGCTCGTGCACGTGTTCACACAACTGAAGCAACATCACAGGGCGGAACATTACAACCAGCTGCTGCAGCACTGGCACAGTATGTATACTGACAAACGTGTACACTATAAACTGGGTGTAATTCTTTAAACTGTCGATTTTATTAGCAAAGTGATGAAATTATTTATTTTCAGTGGTCGGAATTAGGTAGAGTTATTCATGTACTTACACTGATTTCATACAGCGAAAGAATAAAGTGGATATGCCTCAAATTCCTATCAAATTGTACCCTATTTAAAGGCAAATAAATATCTATTCTATTCTATTCTATTCTATTAATTTTAAAGAGCAGAAAAAATCCCATGGTTTTTTAAATAAAAAGTTATTTACTTTTACACAATTTAAACTACTGCACGCACGACGTTGCCAAAGTTACATCAATGAAAGAAAGAAATAAAGAAAGAAGAAATAAAGAAATCCCGGGAAGGTCCACATTAATATCAACATTTCGATGCAAGTACATAAATAACTCTACCTAATTCCGACCTCTGTTTATTTTGATAGGGATTAATAGCATGAGTAAAATAATCGCGTTTAAATGTAGTGCAAAAAAAAAATCAAGATTTTTAAATAAAAAAATGGTTGTTGTGCCTCACTCGACATAGATAGGTATAGTGTGTCGCGGATTTTTTTGTAGATATTTATAAGATCTACAATTAATTAGAACATTTTATGGTTCTATCTTTTATAGTTTAGGTAGCGTACACAAAATAAGTAACTTTTAATAAAATATAGCCTATGTTACAAGTTCTTGAAAATTGGTGCTTTCGAGTGGTGAAAGAATTTTTAAAATCGGTCCAGTATTTTTTGAGCCTTTTAATTACAAACAAACATACAAACAAAGTTTTCCTCTTTATAATATTAGTGTAGATAATATACAACAAAGCACTCGACTCTAAGCCGGTCTCGATTAGCGATGGACGTTATTCAACTAGTGATATGCCTGAACCGCGATCACTAGTGATTTAGTTATACAATAACTATCTATTTTCCACAACGCTTTAAAGTAAAGCTGAATTCACTCTTAAGTTAACTTAAGGTTGATATTTGGGCGACTCGCCTCACAATATCCTCGATCACCAAGTATCGGCGATCACAGTTCCCAGCGATATATAGACATCTTTTAAGTAATCAACGCTTTACATTGACGGTCATGTAATGCAATTTTAATAACCGTATAGAATGTAACGGGTAATATAGAGCGTTTAAATAATATGGATCGAAAACAATGCAATCTGTCATGTGTGAATGAAACAAGAACTGGATAGAACGTGTGAATTAAATAGGTATATGTTTGTTTGTTCCGCGTAGGTCGACTATGGGAGTAATCAACTAACCCACCCAAAATTGAGCTTTATCGCGTTTTCGTAAGAGTAAAATTCGTTTAGACTTTATAATGTTATAGAAATAACTAGTTTATCAAAATAGAATTTTTGATATCGGTGATTAGCGATATGATAGCGGTGCATTACGTGATTTGAAAAAAATATAACGACCCATCGCTAGTCTCGATCAGTAAGAAAGATTATCAACCAGCAAAATACGACCTCGCGAATTCGAATGCAGAAAAGTAATAATTCAAAATATTAACGGCATAAATCGTTCGGAGAGTAAACCTACCTATAGTAATGTGCACGGACGTTACGTTATTAAGAATAGGCCCTCGTGTGTCATGTTAATTCGATCGAATTATACCTATACGCGCAGAAATTGGCCGATCAGAATGATTCAAGTTTCAAGATTTCGTGCGATTCGCGTCTATGATTTTGTAGTTGAGTGAGAGAAACTGAAATTGAGTGCATGGTATTTTATGGCTGATTTACATGGTATAAAGTAGATAAATAGTAGATTTTTAAATTAATTTTTAAGTGATAATTAAAGATTTAGGTAAGTAGTTATGACTTTAATTGAAATTAAAATTAGAATATTATTAGTGAAAAATGCTTAAAAAAATCCACTTGTCTCAGGTAATCTGAGATGAGACGGTATGGGGAAGTTTAAATTTTTGCTAAAATAATTATTTTGGCTGTTTGGGTGGAATGCTTTGACATTGATGAAAATACGCTCTGTAGTAGCGAAAAAGTAACAAGTGCTGGATAATGCGTCAGTCCTGTTAGGTCAGTGGTTAGAGCAGTCGTCCGGAATTCGAAGGGTTCGAGTCCCATCTCAGAGTGCCAGGGACGAAGTGGATTTTTTAAGTATTTTTCAATAAGAATATTTTGCTGTTTAGCATTGTGAATGCAAAATATAATAATCAAAATTAGAATATTATCTACCTAATTACGTGTAAACCAGCCTTTCCACATTATGTCCATTAAAATGAGACCGATTATAAATTCTTATTATACGTTTGCTTATGATTGGAATTGGCAGGTCTTATTGTAATATTTTTTATAGGTCTTTACGATTTTTTTTCTATTTTCTCCGTATACCAATTCCAACTGAGGCTATCTTATACGCATTTTTTAAATATTTAAATAATTGTATCTGCAGTGTTGAGAGAACAATCTCGCGCTGAGCAGCAGCAGCCGGCGATAGAAGACGAGCAGCTGATGCCGCTCGAGGAGCTCCAGCACAAGCTGTTCGCGCCCAACGACTGAACCAACACTACAGGTACATCAACGCCCACTCGCGGTGCCCACACTGCACACTGTATACTTACTGGCCTTCGATATGCATTTAAACACCTCCAGTGTTGGCACGTAGCCTATATAAAATATATCTATGTATATTGTATGTCCCAGTCGTGACGGTAGTACTTTAAAAATATTAGACATTGTGAATTTGGAAATAAAAGAGGAGTCTGTCTTATTCGCGTTTGCGCGTGTCTGAGTGGTGTGAAAGAGAAGGGAAGTCTCGTTCGTTTATAGTTTAGACGACTAAATTTGAGTGCAAAGCAAAATAATCCTTATTTTTTCGTCCCGGCGATCTCAAGTAGCATAGAAAAATTATTTGTTCAGTTCGACTTATGTTGAAAAATTTGTTCAGATTTACATCCTCGTGTAGAACAGTGAAAAATAAAAAATTAATCTAACTGCCGCACTCAAAGACATCAACTTTAATGGTACCCAAGATAACACTGACAATGATAGAAACTAAAAAAAATTTTTAACGAAAAAAAAAAGTTACTTAACATTGACATTATACGTATTATTAATCGGTGTCTCTGGGTACGACAGTTACGGCCGGTTGCACAAACGTCCATTAAGGTTTAACGACCCCTTTAAGCTCTAATGAATGTCAAATTTATATGGGTATTGTCACTTTAAACTAATGACAATTTTAATGGACGTATGTGCAACTGGCCGTTAGTGTCATAGGTTTAATTATATTTTGCGTATGATGCTTGATTAGAATAATATATTGTACTGAATGTTAAAATGTAACGTACAAATACAATATTTGTATCATATGAAATTCAACAGCGGCTATTTAAAAATAGTATTATAAAATAACGGTATATCTCGAGAAACGATTCCTTTTCACCTTTGATCTCTTAAATAAAAATAAACTGATTAATTAAATTATATCAGTTTTTATTATACAGATATTGAATTTTAAGCTTTTAGTGTTATATTATGGGGTCGTTTATTACTAGTTTTTCTTTTTTTTTTTTTCAAGTACAGAAAATAATTTATATAGCACAATAAGGCACTATCTGTTTTATAACAATCACAATATATAGAATGATTATTATCAGACTTGGGCGAAATGAATTGGATTTATGATTTAAACATTATTTTAATTTATAAATTAATTTGATAAGTGAGTTATAAAAATATTCAATCAGAAATTTGATTTAATTTTATCCAAGTCCGCATCAAAGAAATTTTCGGTAAACTCCTTCGTCTATTTCGGAAATGGAAAATGTGGCTTAAAATTTGATCTATACAAATATTAGGTATGTGTATTTATTCGGCTTAGACGTCCTATGGTGGAGTTCTAAAGCAGGCGAAAATAAGGTAATGATTCTAAAAATTGCAGTAATACGTCTTGTTGTACTAATTCCGATACGTATTTTTTTAATTTTAACGCTCTCATAATACCTCCTCTGTCATAGTCCATTTTTTAACATGCCCTAGGAACAGAACAAATCAATCATATGTGTACTTATTCTGATTAGTCGTACTTGTAAACTTAAATGGACACTCATGTCTTAATTATTATGTGTGATATAATAAAACCAATTATCGCTGACCACAGACCTCTAATCATAGACGTTTAGAAGCGTACCACTTTTATACACACAACAGCACATCAAGTGTCCACAAAATGTCCCATTTCCGAAATTGATTTTAATCTTAACAATCAACAGATTAAAGTTCAAAATCTATTCAAGAAATTTAAGTTTAATGTAATTTGACGTGCTGTCGGCTATATTTCTTCATTTTTTTAAGGAAATGTACTTTTTACGCCCTTATCTGTTTACGGAATAGGCAGTGGAGGTTTTGATTTTAAGTGCCTCGCGACTATGTAATAATAGCCTTATTTATACCGTTAGCACAAAAAACTCAATGGAATCATGTCCACAACATCTATATGTATCATTTCTAGTTTTATATTGTAAATCAATATTTAGCTTCGGGCGAATCGCGCTAGTATGCCTGTATGCCTTGTAAATAACGTGATTAAGTTTTGCTGTTTCGACATCGTATTCGTGTCTGTGAATTTTATTATTTTGATTTTTATGTATTATATTGTATAATAGTCATTGTAAAAGCAAACTTTCGTAAACGTAATATTATGGCCGAGTTACATAAGGCTACATTTTAGCCGAGAAAAGAAGCTAGAGCCTGTTCCTAGAAAAAACGGACAAAGTGAGTGATGGCAAACGATACGTATCGCTGTCCATAGATCTCTATCGTTCCTGCGGAATTCTGCCTGTTGTCGTACAAGATGAAGTCAGCGACTTACAGCGTTCCGTACATCAAGACGCAGTACGACGTGGAAATGATATTCGTATCGTTTTCTTGCAGTGCTCACATAATACTTTGTATCGTTATTAGCTTTTAGATTGCTTTTAAATATACTGTAGTTCTGTATAAACGATGTTAGAAAACAGATACTAGTTTACAAACTTACAATGCGCTAGCTTGCTATCCTGACTTAAAAAAATTGCCTCGTGTATCTCCGGCCTAATGTGAATATAGGATATAATATGTAATATTTTCATCGCTTTCTCTTACTTAAAAGTATTTTTTTAAATTCTTTAATCAAATCAGAATATGATATTGTCTCTTATGTATGCAGTTAGATACATACTTGACTGTAATTATACTTGTACTTGGGTCATAACACAATGAACGTATATCCATTTCATAATTACCTTGTTATTTTTCGAGTTTAAGGTACGAAGTTTGCTTACCAAGATGACTTCATGTTCCTCGTGGTGATTTACATGTATATAATTTTTTTTATAGTGATATTGTCTTTTATTGTATAGACGTAGTCAAATTTTGTTATTACGTTTATTTAAAGGAAGACAGCAACCTCAGGGTGTATACCCCAAGACAGTCATTCAAAAGTATACACCTCAGATGTTATTTTCAACGTAAACCATTTTTTTTTAATAACGGCCACTTAAATGAAATTGGTAATACTTTCAAGTGAACGTTTTTAATTATTGTTAATTTTCGTAATTTGTATATCCAGCTGTTTATTTGTAAATGTCTTTGTTCTTCGTTTCTTGAGCCATTCCAAATTTCTTTATTCATTCGCCCCCATTCAAGGTGGATAAATAAAGAGTTTTGAGGCTGATATTCCAATATACACCCAGAGGTTGTTGTTTTACGGTGTATAAACGTAATAAAGCGTCAAATTTAACGTGTGAACGTGCAATGAATCATTGTGGCAATTTTTTATTGTAAATATTAGAGGAATGGATGGATCTGTTTTGACAATGTTGCCAGTGTCAAAAATCTATACTTGTATATCGAGATACTATGATCGATCAGTAACACAAATAGAATTTGTATGCGGAACGAGTCTTCATTGACTGCCTTTTGTAATAACCTACGTGTAATGACTTAACTATATATACTCAATAATTTTCTAATCATGCTTCATAGACTAATAAATCGGTTCATTTGAATCTAGTTAGAGAACATATCGAAATGTAATATTTGTCCGCAGACTATTTCTTTTAGATAATTGTAACGATGATAGTATTATGTTGATATGGCGAGACCACAGGTACTGATATCAGCTGGTGGCTCGTCTCGTCACCGGTTTGTTCTGTGTCGCTTGATGCGATAACAGGGTTGATATAGAATGGCTGTTGCGTGCTCCAGGCACGCGTAAATAAATAAATTTTATGAAATTTGTGTCGTTTTATTTGTATGCATGCATATTTTAATATTTTATCAAAATTATAGCGATAATTAAGACTCAATCAATCAATCTTTGGGCACGGTCAAGCTTCTCCAAATCGACAAAAAGGATTTAAATAAAAGAGAAACTTCAATAAAGTATTTATTATGAATGTGATAATAAAATTAAAGCTTATAGTTATAAGGGGAATGCTACATAACTTTCAGTCAATAAAATATCCAATAAAAAATTTCAATAAATAAATTGACAACATAATACTCTGAGACAAAGAAATCGAGTCGCATATGATTTAATTTACTTTCGTTTAGGCTTGCATTGTTTTAAATATAAAAAATGGTAAAGGTCACAGTGGCTTGCATCTAATAATAGGCTAGTTGACAACTTTTTTTTATTTCATAAATAAATAGTCCATTAACATCTGAGAAATAATGTTGAAGTAACAGCATGTCTGCGATTAATAGTTTCGGAGATACGGTGCTGTGTTTGTAGAACTGCCGCTAGTTGGCCGAAAACGCTCCCTACAAATTCAAAGCACTCGGTGACGTCACATGGTGCTACAGTAGCGAAAAATGTATGGGCGTCTGGACATTTTTTGTAATATCTTTGTTATTTGTGCGTTTATGTTTATAGCTGTTATAATGAAAGTTGTAACATTTTTTATATCTAATTTAAAGCCTTATGTATTTTAGCAGATTTTTGTAGTAGATTTTCTGTACTTTTTCAAGTTTCCAAAGCGTAATATTTTCCAAATCATTGACTTAAAATTTGTTTTGTTAAACATTTATAAGTTGAAATGGTTCATATTTTACGAAGATATAACAAAAACCTGTATTTTCACTTGTTGGACACAAGCCTATTATACATATTAATCAACCCGATTTCTTGTCAATATAATAAAGATTCTATAAAAGGCACTACTCAAGGCCGGCTCCAATTGAATTTATTTCTATAACATTCGTACACATAATATAATCTGATTTAATACTAAATGTGCATTGCACAAGCACGACACGAATCACAAGAAGCGTCTATTCGAATAGCTTAACTACCAATTGTATATTCGAGAATCAATGGTACAGTTTATTTGAAAACAATTGAATATGTTTGACATTTTTAACGGATCTCAAACGTCTAATAATGAAATATAAATGTGCGGAATTTTTATATTCTAGTACTTTTTGTACGTTACGCAATTTCTGAAGATTCCGAAATAATAGATTATTAGACGAGTATTGTTACTATAAGATTTTCAGCATTCAAATAGCATTTCAAAATATTTTCAATTTGAAATTGAGTCTAATAAATAAATAATTTATAAACAAAAAAGCCAGCTATTTCACAATAATAACAGTTAAAATGGGACACAAAAACTTGCACAGTAACACTTGAATCAATACAAACATACACATAATACAAAACGAACACGAGGGCTCGTATATCTCTAATATCGTATATCTATTACGATGCAACACTCGGTTCATGAACTCCTTACGCTGGTCCGAGCAATGCCACGAGCGCGCGCTTGTAGTCGCCGGAAGTCTCTCCCTGCTGCCGGCCGCGGAAAACAACATGGCGTTACAGCACATCCGGTCACAAGATGGCGGGCGGTGCGAGCGCATGCGGGAGAGGAGACGCGGCAATATTAGTTTGTGAACAGTCAGAAATGTGTATGTTATCAAAAATAGATATTTGTAAAGCATAATTGTATATAATATTATACCCATAACATTCAACTGGTAAGTGACAATCCAATAATACGAAAGAATTTTATTGTAAAGTCGTAAAATCATAAATAGGTAACAAAAGCGTTTTTTTTTTAATTGTAACAAAAAGTAAAAAAAATACATAAAATATATCTCACCTCCTGTTTCCATCACCGTAAGAAGCGACGTGAAAATGTTAACACATTATAATTGACACATTACAACACTAAAGTAATGTATGATAGAAAAAAAAAACAATAATGTGACATGGAAAGCGAAAATATTTAAGAAAAGCTAAAGTATCAAGTTCATGCGTTCGATTAATATGATGCATTACTTTCATGCTGGTAATGTGCTCAAATTATAAATATTGTGCCGCGGACCAAATATGATGAACAGACAGTACTCGAGCAATTGAGAAATATTGCTTGTAATATTTAACGATTCGAGAAGACAATTTTTTAAAAAGATTTATTTACTCATGGCTCAATGCAATTCGACCAATTGTGTTTATGGCTGCGCATGTACGTGCACAATAGGGTATTCTGCTTAGTTTGAAATAATACTTGTAACTGTTTATTTCAATCTAAAAAGCAATAAAACAAAAAATAAATATGTCTTAAAACAAAATTAACGCTGTCCGTCAAATTCATGACGTCATTGTGATATGTACACAAAACAGGTGCATAGAGTAGCAGATTAAAAGATTACAATAAAACGATAACAATACTGTCTAAGAACCGATTACGCAACAAAAAGATATAAATGAGCTAAGAACAGCGCCATCTAGGAACTCGATTTATAATTAATAGGCATATCTTTAGGACTAATCTGATTCTGTTTTTGCGCAACTAATTTCGCGACTAATTCTTGACTACCGAAACTACCCAATCGGTTAGCACGTTTGATCTGCGATTGTAAGATTAAGCGACTTTCGTAAGGGCCGGTAATCGGGTGGGTGATGTTTTTTTTATTAGGCTGAGCGGGTGTAGCGGGACAGGCGTTTACGAAAATTAACAAAATCAAACGCGTTAACGCTACTTCAGAATCGAGCCAATCCACTCAGCATTCCTTGCTGGGCTCGCGTGTAGGTCCCAATGCGGTATGGTGGCGCTAAAGCACAGACATTCTTAATCCACGAAACCACTCCACCCAGTATTTTACGACGAGAAACGCACCTTCTCAAACCAGAATCGAACCGCACTGTCACCAATAAATCATTAAGTACAATAACTCGAGTACCGTCTCAATGAATCGAGTGGCACTCACCTTGATGTCGCTCTCGAGCGTTTTATCATATATACGCTCGTACTCCGCCTTGATGGCGCCCAGATCGATTTCGGCCCGGGACGCGACGATCCTGACCAGGGCGCGGTCGTCCGTGCCGGCGCCGTCCACCGCCTTGCGCAGGCGCTGCGCGAACCAGGCGGGCGCCGCCTCCACGCACTCGACTGCAACACGCGCACGCGGTACATACCCGCACTTCGCTCTGCAGCGTCTTATCGTACAGCCGCTCGTACTCGCGCTGGACGGCGGCGAGGTCTAGTTCCGCGCGGCTGACGATCACGCGCGTGAGGGTCCGCTCGTCGGTGCCGAGCCCCTGCATCGCGTTACGCAGTCGGCGCGCGAACCACGCGGGCGCGCTCTCCACGCATTCCACTGAAATTCCGGCGGCGCGCCACTAGCTGAGCTCACGGCTTATTATTATTCCAGCGCGCGACTCCCAAAAAGCTTAATCCTACCGAGATCTTGACTCTCGATTCGATATTAGAATTTAGCAAATCGAATAATACAAACGGTACATGTAGTGATGGTGAATCTGATGACATATTGGGGAAAATTTAATTTGTAGAAGGCAACATTGGGGAAACAGGATAAAGACGTCTTGATACTTGTAAGGTTTTAATAAAATAAAAACTTTTCAATTACTGCCAAGTAGCATTGAACATACTTTTGACCGAATTACGATCACGGCAAATTAGCCTACATAGATTAGCCAACTGCGTGTGAAGTAATATAATACGCGAACATACACCTGTACACTCTATATTAGCAACGTCTAATTTTATATATTGACAGCACCCGATCCGACAGAAAAATCCAATAATATTTTACCTAACCCGGAATCCAACACGAATAAATAAAAGAAGCTTTACTTTACTATTATTTTATAATTACTGATATTGCAACTGTGTTTTACTCCCAACATTTTTAAATCGGATCCGTGTGTAAAAATGCCATTATATCTTCTTCACTAATAATTAGTTTTATTGTAGTAGTCGACGCGCCATCGAATATTTACTGACTAGTGGCCGCCAGCGACTTCGTCCGCGTTTTCCATTATTTCTTCGCTCTTAATAGTTGCAGCGTGATGTTATATAGCCTAAAGCCTTCCTCGATAAATGGTCTATTCAACACAAAAAGAATTTTTCAATTCGAACCAGTAGTTCCTGAGATTAGCGCGTTCAAACAAACAAACTCTTCAGCTTTATAATATTAATATAGATTAATTCTTTAGAAAAGGTTAAGTATCAAGTTACCGGTCAATTCATAAAAATACTTTGAAATCAAAAAATTCGTTGATCTTCGGCTTCTTTTCACAAATTTTGCTATAGACATTAAAAACAATATTTCTCGCCTAAAATATCAATGTTTTTGGGCATTTACACAAAAAAATACACTTTGACTTGACAGTTATCAACAGTTGACAATTTATATTGCCACATGAAAATTGTTATTTTTTTCTTTTTATTTTGCTAAAACTACCTAATTTTGTATACAATCATAACTGAATTGGGACTATCGGATAAAAATGCTATATATAAGTAATATCACTCTGTAATAATATAAAATTCTACTAGACTTCTGAAGTTTTGGAGTTAAAAAACTCTAATTATTTAGACTTTCTCTAACAGTATAGCCAACAATATGAGGAAATGAATCCAAATGACGCGAGTTAATGTACGACATCCTCAGCTGAATCAAGTATAGAGAATGCGGCTGCGCCAATTGACTCAACAACGTCGTAGGTGATGCTATGAGCTAGATAATAAAGTAGTCAAAGAAACGTGTTGTATTTCTTTATATATTGTTGAAACCAATTTTTAATATTATTATAAAATATTTGTGCTATTTATGTAATAATAATTTGACTTCAATATTATTGAATCTAATAAAAAATCGTAGGCGGTGTATGAGTGAGACTATGAGAATCACAAGTTATTTTCAACATAAAGCAGTTTAAAAGAGAGGGAAGTTCCGATACTGTATTGGTCCGCGAAACCTCATTAATAATAATGATTTATCTATTTGCTAGACTTAGGTACAGCATAACCCCCCCCCCCCCTCCTATACTGTGAATACTTACCGATGGCGGAGAGCGCGTCGCGCAGCTCCCCGTCGATCTCCGCCTTGATGGCCTGCTCTATGGTGCGCCCCGCTATGCCCTTGTACGCCTCGAAGATCAGACGCAGCTGGGCGAAGCTCTCGTGAGCCAGGATCTAACAGAATAAACATCACACCAAACAATGTAACTACTTACTTGTTTTATATTTGCACGCATACTGCTCATTTATTTAAAACCGGGACATAAAAATGGGAAATATAAAAAAAAAACAATGAACTTTTATCAAAGTCGGACGATTTCAATAGTTTTGAAGATAAAGACACACTCGATAAAGTAGTTTCAAAACAGATTTGTTGAGAGGTTATTTAAATACGTCTTCTTATTATAATAATCTAACCTAAAACTACGGCAGTTTATAATCTAGCAATATATATTTTTAACTGTCGGCATGTGTGCTCTACCAATGAACATTCGCCCTTCTTACCAGGTAGATACAGTACCTTGTTGAATATCTCCTCGTCGGTGCCCCACTTGCCCTCCCCGGCGTCGTAGAGCGCCTGCGCCGCTTCCTGCGCGCGCGCCGCGTCCACGCCCCCCTCCTCGTCCCTGGCCCCCTGCCGAGCACGCTGACGTCACACGTAGCCAAACTCTTACACGGCCTCCGACTGAATAGCTTGTACCACCCTTTACACTCAAGCTTTTCATTGATGTTTTTTGTAACACATACTTATAGCCGTTATTTGTGGATTTTTTTTATCCAACTTTCTTAGTAATAATAAGTTTTATTTCGAATCGGTATTAAAAGTTAACTAAAGGAAAATTTGATATAATTTACCTGTTTCCAATGATGTTTATTATCTAGTTTGGGAAGCAAACTATGCCACGTAATTCAACATTAGTATAGTTGAAGCACATGACCACATAATTGGGTTCTATGATTAATAAATCATGAAAAATTTACACGCATGATTAAATTCTACATTTGACATGCTGAAGAAACATAAATGCAATATTTGTAAACTATCCTTTAATAATTCAACAATCAGCATACAATATAAATAAAATTTACGGGTACGACCATTTTATATGGTAAATATTTTCTAGTAGAACATAATCGTTCAAATGTAGAGTCGATAACACGTCAAGTTCCTACAAAAGGTCAAATGTTCTCCATTCTATTTTAAGTCTTAATTTTTCATCGATAAAGTAAAAAATTCAAAGTAAGCTTGTGTAGAGTAACCTGAAGTGCCACTGTATATGTACTCTAATGAAAGCTATTCAATTTGGTACAAAGGGCAGTCGAGCTACTAGTCGAAGGCTGGATCGATACAGGCGGCAAGCGATAGAAAAGGTCAAAAGATAGTGAGGCTGTTACACGTGCACAGTCAGCAAACAATATTATGCCGCTCATAAAACAATATCGCCTAAGTATGATATATTCTAAGAATTACAGTTTTTAAATGAGTTTATTAAAATTTTAGAACAGCACGTCAGTTTATAAAAAACTATCAATTTTCTCCACTTATCAACTCGAGAAATTTGACATACGGTCAGTTGCACAAACGTCCATTAAGGTTTCATGACGTCCTTAAGCTCTAATGAATGTCATATTTGTATGGGTAATGTCGCTTTAAACTAATGAACATTTTAATGAACGTTTGTGGAACTGGCTGATATTGTGGTAAACTGACGTGTATACTATAAATACTTTTAATATACTTAGCATCATCGCGGTGTAAAAACTGTTCACATAGTATAAACAATTAGTTTTTTTGTCAATTTCCCTATGATTTAATTTACAAACCATCATATATAATAAACGACGAAGGCTGTTGATTATATTAAAATAAATGAAACAAGATTCGGTTTTAATTGGCAAAATCAATGTTAATTCGTATTTATATTTTTGTAAGTAAACATTTAAAAAAAATGTTTTAGAGCCAAATTACCCGTGATACAATTAGAGGCGGTTCATAGAATTGTCGAGTCAGTCACAGCAAGTAACATAGACCAGGGTCACGGGCGCCTAATTACTCGACAGTGACGGTGTATGTTTGTACTCGACTAACACAAAAACCGCGAGAACGATTTAAATTATAAAATAACCGGTCAGTAGATAGGTATTTTCTTTCAATTTAAAAAAATAAATATTAAAGCAAATCCGTTATAAAATATTAGCATATTACTATTCCGGAGCCTATTACTATTTTGGAACTCTTATTTCTCTTTATTATAGCATTAATATTATAACATAATTGATGGCAGAATATTCTGGTGTTACAACGTTTTTTATTAATTGCTAATGTTATGTGCAAAGGAAACTTAATTGCAAAAGCACTACATAATTGGATCATGAAGGTTTCTTTGACAATTTTAGGTTAGAAACATTATACCCATTACCATATAGAAGCTCGTAAAATACACATTTCAACTAGAGAGTTATTATCGACATCTATCCCTATCCATCACCACTCATCTTTCGTCTTTTCTATCCCTGACATTTACTATTATCTATCTCTAAAGACCAAAATTTATCTAAACAAGAGACCGGTATACTTAGGAACATAGGGATATAACACGACTTTTACAAACACAAAAATAATTGAACGATTCAATGCACATTTAGGTACTAGTTCAGTTATGTTAGTGTGGTATTATTTCAATACAACTCATATCTGAACTATATGAGTATTTTATTGAACATGCGGATAAATACTGAAAATATGAGCAATGAACGTATCAAGTACTACACCACCGTATACGGTCTATTGTACCCACTACATCCAACCAACTTGGTGCTGCTTTATCCGTATGTAGCACGTATACTTGTTCACAAAAACATTGTGTGAATTGAACGCACGACAAGTACTGTGATCGTTCCGATTCCGTCTTGAACGTATAAGTATTTTACTACAGTGTTATGTATTAATAAACAAGGTTTAGCGTTGGACTGAATTTACGCTGAGACTGCACATAGTATTAGTCAAAATTCATATTATTAAACAGAAACTTAGCAAAGGTTAACCTAGTACGAGGTTCTACGGGGGTAATATTTACTCCTAGAAGGTAGTAGATTATTCTCTGTATACTTAATATGAATTTGGACTAATACTAAAATTGTAATTTTTATTAATAGCACTGTTAATGTTTACGTAATAAAAGCATCTCGTTACAAACTCAATAACTTGCCATTGGGCCATCTACATGAGGTCCAATATTGTTAGAGCAATGTCTTCCTCACAAATCAGTTAGTGACTGATATATAATAATATTCGACTTCAGATAGATAGTACAATAGAAAAATACAAGTAGTATATTTTCTATTGAGATGTGAATTGGCCTACTGGTATCATCTCGTACTACGCTACGAATGTGCCCGGTCCCAAAAATACCGAGATTTATGATTGGAAGCTAATAATTGATATAGATGATATTAATGGATTCAAGAAACTCACAGTGACGATGAGCGTGAGCAGACGACGGAAGTCGCCGGAGGTCTCCGAGCACATGTGTTCTGCTAGCGGCCTGTTGTATACTGGAGATACATATTTACATAAATAACTAATTAACACCAACAAGATTTACATTAAATTGTTCCTTTTACTAACTAACATTGGTTATTATCACTGAAGCATTTTACTTTTTATTTATATAAATTACGAAGACAAACAGGTACAAAGAATATCTCAATTATGTATATACCATATACTATAATATATACTATATAATATAATATACTATATACTCACGGCGCTCGTACGCGTCAACGATATCGGCTATCTCCCTCTTTGTGCGCGTGCACAGGATCTCCACAAGTGTCTCCTCATCTGTGCCCATTCCTTCCATGCAGTTGTGTAATTCCTACATGAGTTCATGACATAACCTTACATACATATAATACTATGATAATAAAACTGCTAATTTTAAATTACAAAAGTTAAATATTGGAAAGTTAAGTATTACAAAAGAATAATCGAGAATTCCCTCATTCATTAATTTTCAACAGACACAAAGGGATTGTGTAATTAAAACTGCTACTGGTACTTTTTTCATCTTAATAATAAATTTCACCAAGTCGAGAGGAAGAAATTTACACAAATGTATATATTAATTACATATAAACCGTAATGTATATATTAATTGAATATGTGCACCACAATTCAAAAGTTATGTTGTCATTATAAAATTTTAAAAATACTAAGTTTCTTGAACGTGACGTCCTACCTTGCACAGGTACTCCTCAGGAGGTAGCATTAGAGCTACTATCACATCCTCGAAATGTCCTCCCAGTTCAGACTTCAGGTCCTCAATCAGGTCCTGTATATCATATTAACAAAAAATCTGTACATATTTTATAGTTGTAAAATACTACTACATATCTAAAAATGAATATTGTTACTTATAATGCTGATTAATGCGTCTTACGACTTGTAATTAACAAAACAGGTGGTACATTAACAATATGAGTAACACCAATATACACATAGCTATAAAAATTCATTTACTCATACATATCTTTCCTAACACCATACATTATTGTTACAGATTATGTTGAATCACTCTAAGCTTCACTGAAATGTTACCTTGATTTGGATTTGTTTTAACAATATGGTCATATGATTCAAAGATATATAATTACTCTCCTGAATATATAAATCAAAGTTTACTTCTGCTATCTTATATTATTAGTTAAAAAAAATACCAATTACTAATTTAACTAAAATACTTTAAATGGAAGGTAACATGCCTATGTTTAATCCTACCTCAACAATTTATAGATAGATTTGAAAACATTTATTACTATTGCACAAAATGCCAAATATCCAGAATTGATTTTGAACTCTATTCAACATGTACAAAGAGTTGAAAACAGGTAAAATTCCTAACGGTTTTGCATTAACAGATGTGCTGTTGTGTTGACTATGCTCTGCAAATTTAAGTATATTACTAAAACTAAAAGCAAACATTTGAGTTTTTATAGAATTATTATTCTAATTCTCAACAAATAAAAACTTTTTTTTATTACATAGGGTATAAAATCTTTCTTAGTATTATTCATTCATCATTATATAATAGAACTATTATGAGTAATGTAAACAAAAAATGTTAGTGAGTCAGATACGGAGTGTGACCTTGATAGTAAATTACTACTGAAGACTCATGGTAAGAGGAAGTAGCTATACAAAATAAGTACATTTTTTATTATGAAACATCAAATATTTTGGTGCTTGTGTGATGGATGATTGCTAAATACCTACTTCATTTACTAACTCCCTTAATTAGAATTACATTATAGGTAGTGAAATAAAGAACTTTTAATGCAAGTATAAAAGTAAAAGAAACATATTGACCCCCTAAGTAATTGAGAACTGGAAATAATAACAGAAGGATTAATAATAAAAGGAAGGAAGGAACACCATTATTTAGGAATAAAGCAAGTATATGTTTGAAATTTATTGTTGACAGTATTCAGATTCCAGGAAGTGAATAATAAGAAAATTAACATAAGAAATGTAGGTACTTACTCTGCCATACTCATGAGTGAAGGCCTGAGAGATGGCTTGACGCTGGGCATTAGAACGGGTGGTCAGAATATCAATAATTGCTTGCTCATCTGTACCAAAACCTTTCATGGCAGCTCTTAAAGCAGCGGCATCTTCAGCTGCATTGAAGTTCACTACTCCCACTACAGTTGGTTCACGCTATAACAATGTTATAATTCCAATTTCTTTAAAGAATAAAAGTACTGATGAATTAGAGAAATTTTTAATTTCATATTTCTTATCATTCCCTTCTCAATTAAAATAATGTTATAATCAGTATAGTATACAGATTTTAACAAGTAAAATCTAAAATTTTAATATCTGTTATTAAAATTAAGCATCTTAAAACCTTCTGAGTTTAAAGGGTCTCATAATTGTTTATCAGTATCTGACAAAAATGTAGTCATTCAAGCTCTTATTGGATCTACTCAAATTAGTTGATAGCCTTATTTGTTCACCGATAGAGTTCAATTCAGTATACCAACATAATGAATCAACATCCATAAAATTTGAAAATAATTATCTCGACTGTTTAGTGTGTAGATAGAGTTATTTTAATTAATGCGTGTTGTCTGATGACAACAATATATTTAGACTGATGTCTAAATATATTTTTTCTCGCGTTACGTGAATAATAAATACGGTTACACCCTCGGACCCTGCCCACTGTGACGTCACTAAAAGGAACCACCTAATCCCGATTGAGCATTACTTATAATATTATCGTTATGAAAAAGAAGTAGTTAGTACTTACGTGGTGAGACATTGTAAATTTTACCAAAGACGAAAGTGAAATTTAAATAAAGTAGGGCAATAACTTCCGAACTTTCCAATGGTATTATGCACTCTGTAACAATTTATAAGGTGTTTTTATTAAGTTTTATCTATATTCACAACATCGGCCTTGAATAAAATTAGTATAAAAATATTTATTTACTTAAATATTTCAGGAAAATGGAAATATCCCGCACTACACCATCCAACTCAACGCACAAAATAAAACTAAAAAAAATTTGCTGTTTGACATTTCACTGACAGACAATGACAATGACAGACACAAAAAGAATTGATAGCTCTTTAATAAAAATTCCCTACGAAAATTTGAAAAGGAAGTGAAGTATTATTATAGGTAGTATTACACTGGTTTTTCTTATGATTCTGCATTATAGGAATAGTGCAGAATATTTACAGAAGAAATAATCAAAACTATGTTATCGGTACAATCATCATTATCTTGCTACAAGACGAGATTTTTCTTTAAGTTTTACCGTATTTCGTATGGGATCACCACTTTACCGTATTTTGGGTATTTATTTATTGGTATATAGGGTTATATTTAACTAATTAGTAAATTGATTATCTAGCTCTTTATATGAAGGGTCCGTAAAATGAATAAACGTGTTCACAGGTATGAGTTTACATTACAAATGTCACAGATTACGTCGCACAGAGTGGACAACAAAGATTATTAAACATATGTGTAATATTCTCTACATAATAAATTAAATAATACGTTTATATGAAGATTACCAAACTTTTTCAACTTGTGGCGCATTCACAGGTTTCGTAATTCGTCTCGGTGCTTTAATAGTTTGTAACAGGATGTCATTCATTTACAGTACGCTCCTAAAAATGGGACCAGGGAACCAGGAATAAAATGTGTCGTAGGTAGATCATATTATGCGGGAAACGAAAAATAAAACTCAATAAGTACCCATTTCATGTTTACGTTTAAATGGCGCTAAGATGCTATACATTAATATACGAATAGCTCGTAACAAATTTTTCTAAAGCTCGATTACACGACAGGTTATCATAATATGTTAAATTTATCCAGTTGATTTTAAACTGTACTTTCAAAACATCAAGGTTAAGGGGGAAGTGGGAGAGGTCAAAAAACCTCTCCCACCCCTTAAAAAAAGTCGGCACCTTCTTCCCCATTATAAAATTTATATAATAAGAATTTCAAGGAAAAAATTATATATATATTTATTTTATGTTTTTCTTCACAGAAACAATGTCTTGGTGCCCTTTATATTCTCTGTGGCACCCCCAAGGCGTTGCAACATAAATTTTGGGAACCCCTAAGTTATTTCCAATTAATCATAATAAAATATGTTAAGGATTAAATTCTTTATAAAATTTATCCTTTTCAAAGTTCTTTCCTGGAGTACTAATTCATGTAACAATCAAATTTTTAAACAATTTTCGATGTCAGTCTTTTATGTAACATAATACCACTTAAACAATAAAGAAAAAAAAAAGAGGAATAGTATTTAAACAAGATACACTTGTAAACTTGCATTTTAATAAAAATGTTCTTAAAAATATATATATTCCTGAATCAAGGGAAAACTTAATAAACTGCCAACATTTGTTTTCTTAAAAGTGGAGAATCAGCAATCAGCAAAGGGATTCCGTAAAAATCCGAACACTATCCGAACCCGGATTCGAATTCACTGAAGTGATTAAATACACGTCATTGAGTTGATTCTGTTATTATATTTTTGTATAATAATACAAAACAATATTGATTGATTCATACGTGTCTCTGATATTCTATTCCTATATTAATTCTAAACTCATTTCACTTATGTCACGAAACGTTAATAACAGTTAAAAGATGTCGCTCTTGAAGTAAATTCGGACACCTCAGTGAATTCGAATTCGGGTTGATACGGAATCGTCCTGCAGGACATTTTATTTTTTATCCCGCATGCACACGACTGCATGTTATGTCTAATTTTGCATATTTTTTTCTTGTTTCAGTCTTTTCAGTTATTTTACACGCAGGCGGGTTTTTTATTTTAAATTATAATTTTATTCATGCCTTTTTAGTTAGACAAAAGTGAAAGGGTTTAGAAAGTGATAGAACAAGTCCATATTTATAAACTTTATTATTGATATACTATCTAAATACGTACAACGGTTCTGAATATATAAAGTAATATAGACTTAGAGACATAGACATACTGAGCGCTCTAACACCCTTTTAGGCGCCTATTACACTACCCAATCTATCGGGCCCGATCCATCGGGTACACTGTAAATTGGGTAGTCTAATCGCAGTTAGAGAGTTAGGGTCCCGATATCGGGTGAACGTGGGCGCCCGATCGCCCGATGAGAGTTAGGGCCGATTTATCGGGTAATGTGATCGCTGTTAGGGTGTTAGAGCGCTCAGTCGGTTGTTGCGCAGCGTGCGCGTGAGACGTCAGTGAACGACAACGAAATTTGCGAACAGACAAAAATGTCTTCTCAAAAGGAAAAGAACTACCCAATCTATCGGGCGCGATTTAGGGCGATTGGTGTCGTTGTGATTACACTGCACTAGATCGCCTCCCTAACTCAGTTGGCATGCAAACGTGGCGTTGAAAGGATGGCTCCTTCGCTCACAAAGTACCAAAAAATTGACATAGCCCATACTTTAACTGCGGGCGTAAATAATAAAACAAAATGTTGGGTGAAAAATATTTGCTTCTAAATGACCAACTATGCAGTTTGAACTACTACAGAATGAGTTCTGCACAATTTGATCATATATTAAACTTAGTCATACCTTATATAGCGCGAAACAGCGGTTAGCTGTGCTGTAACCTTAAAATTTTTAGCAACGGGAAATGCAATCATGACTTAAAGTATAAATACTCAATAAGTTTATTGTTTCCATAGGTAATTTAAAATAATATTACATAATTAAGTTAGTCTCACTATGGACCCTATCGGGCACAACAATAATATAAAGTTTATTATAGCATTAGTTTTTATTATTGTAATTTATATAAAATTTATAATTGTACCAGACACATGCAAAGGCTATCTAGAAATGTTTAAAACATTATATCATATTGATATATATATATATATAAAAAAGTAATAATATTAAATTACACTTAATATTATTTCTTTTCCTTTTGAGAAGACATTTTTGTCTGTTCGCAAATTTCGTTGTCGTTCACTGACGTCTCACGCGCACGCTGCGCAACAACCGACTGAGCGCTCTAACACCCTAACAGCGATCACATTACCCGATAAATCGGCCCTAACTCTCATCGGGCGATCGGGCGCCCACGTTCACCCGATATCGGGACCCTAACTCTCTAACTGCGATTAGACTACCCAATTTACAGTGTACCCGATGGATCGGGCCCGATAGATTGGGTAGTGTAATAGGCGCCTTAGTTTTTTCGTTTTTCACTTCATTACTCATTCACTTCCCGCCGAGAAAGCACAAAAAAATGCTCCACAAAAACGAAGAAAAACAGTGGATAAAATACGATTCTCTTTAACAAATACACATAATACGAAAGAATATTAAGTTTCACACTTAAGTCATTAACATTTTTGGCAATAAATACAAAATTAAAGCTAGTTTATAAAATAAATATATTTAATTTTTTAACAAATAATAATTTGACATTTTGTCGTCAGTGTTGCCACTGCTATTCACTTTCTATTTTCCCAACTATATGGGAGCCTTTTCTTTTTATTTTACGTGGCTATAATTTATCTAAATGTCTTCTTTTAATTGATTATATGGCTTAGCTTAGCTTTAGCATTTAGCAACTGCGCAAACTGTGTTGCTAATTTTATCATACCCGCACACAGATGCAAAAGTGGTTTAATTTTTTAAAGTTAATTTAATTTTTTCAAGGCGTGGAATTCGTTAGCTGTCGAGATACAACTTTTGAAAATACGTAAAATTTAATCTTTGTTTGATGTTTTATGAACTTTGACAAATGTTTTTGTCCTTAACACGATTCGATTTATATGCACAGAGCCCACTTTCGTTATTGTTTTTTTCAAATAAATTTTCAAAGTTGCAGTATTCATTACATATATCTAATTGGTTGTATACATATATCTACATTACTCGTTCATTCATTCAATCATCATAATGGGTGAAATTTTCGACAGCTCGCAATACAATATCAATTACCCTGAAGCGTTGGGGTTGTAGATGGGGGGTGTGAAGCACCCCCAGGCTTCAGGTATAAAGAATAAAAGTAATAATAAAGTTTAACAATCTTTATTTTAGTTCTCAGGGGGTAGGTTAAGATATTCGCTCGTTATGGTTCTTGTTTCTATAATTACGAGGGGAGGACTTAGCTTTTAAGTTTTGCAATTAGTGAGGACTTCGCGGGTTCGGCGTCACGGGCCGGGCAGAGGCTGAGAAGGGTGTAGACCCGACGTCAGCTCCGGTCAGCAGCACCGAAGGTCCACGAAGCTCCGGAGGACTGGAGTTGATGAAGAAGTAGAACTAGCAGAAGAAACTAGCAGTAGAAGCAGCAGTAGAAACAGCAGTAGAAACTAGCAGTAGAAACTAGCAGTAGAAACTGCAGTAGAAACCCCGATTTCGGGGTTATTTAGCACTTACACACAATTTGAAATAATCAAATCACAATGAAAATTGGACTCGCGAGAAGTCATTTTAAATACTATGCCACCACTATGAGCCGCGCTGCGCTCCTATGTCTGCCTACCTCCATAGTACAATTGTTAACATTGTACCTTCAACTATTTTTAATTATATTTTTCTTTAAATCTATTTGTATTAAAAAAAGAATTCAAAACAAGGACAGTTTATTAAGTAAACTGTTACAACCCATTTTTCCTTTCATTAAATCGTTAGCACATATTGTCTTTGTTTAATTTAAAGTTTAATCGTAGATATGAGAGAGACAAATATAATAAATCTATTTATATTATATAGTATAAATATTATTTGCAAAGTTACGTCCTGATTTCGAAAAAGTGCTACGCTTTTTGGCGCGTCTGTTGTATGGAATTGCTTCTCTAGTTATTAAACTCATTGTATGTATATATTTATTTTCTAAGCATTCGACTTAGGGAACACTACAAGTTTCATCAAAATCTATTCAGTAGTTTAGAAGATAAAAAATTTATCCGACTTACAAAAGGAATTAAAAACTAATTAAAAACTTAAAAAAAATCTGTTGTATCTAACTTTAGTGTTTTGATTTTATTTAAGCTAAACTTTGTGATATTTTTTCACTCTGTTCAGTTTTTTCTCTATAGAACCTTTTTTTGAAGTTTAATGAATCTAGAAAAACGGCAAAAGGAAGTAAGTAGATGTATATACATTCATTCACCATTATTATTTAAGACTCAAGCCATTAGATCAATGGGTCTTTAAATCTTCCTTTTTATAGAAACGCTTTTATTTGGGGGGCAACAGGCATGACAAACAGATTATGTTTACACTAATTATTTGCATTGCCTTAAAAATCACTTATGTTCTCTCAACATGATTCCATGTCCCAGGTAGGTATTCAAAAGTACAACATTTTCAGACCAACAGTACAGCAGCAGCATTTATTGGCAAAATGACATTACGTACTACTAGTCTTATAATTTGTTGTGAGTGTTTTGCCTAGAGCGCCAAGATCTATTGGTTTTTTTTGCCTTATATTTATGATTTTTTTTGGGCGTCATTACAGTGTTTTGCCTAAGGCGTAAAGTTTCAATGAGCCGGCGCTGTTAACACCACATAATATGGAAATGTTAACACCCACTAATCCTCACCACGGGCGGGAAGGTCCATAAAATCTTTTTCGTCGACCCCAAAATGGGGCTATACTAGTTGTTGGTTGGCCAAACAACAAACCTATACCAAACACGTTCGAACTCCGTGTTAAATTTCCGGATCAGAAATGTAGGGCATTCTATTCTGTTTGAAATACTACTTGTAAGTATTTATTTTTATTTAAATAAGCCATAAAACAAATATTTCGGAAAAATAAAGAAATGTGGAAATTTTGAATCATAAAATAATAATTCAAAATTTCCACATTTCTTACAATGCAAAGTTTAGTTTTTGTGTAATTTCGCGACTTATTTTTCACTACAGAAACTATCCTAAACTCGATTTCCATAAAATTTTTCTTTTTCTTCTTTGTTTTTGAATTATTAATATTGATTCAGAGATTGTTTTGTGTCCCTTCGGTTCAGGTTATCATATTATCGAATTAATAAAACCACTAGTATTTTCATAAATATTTATTTATTGTATATTTTAAATTGTAGATTACCGGTGAAATATATTAAAAGTTTAAATTTCAAATAAAAAATTGTAAAATCTTATTTTGGACATGTCCCACACCAAAGCGAAAACTGGTTTCACTACTTAAGGAATAAATACACAAGTTATTATTATTTTGTTATAACACTTACATAATATGAACATTACTATATCTCTCAATTAATTTTTTTTCAGGTAGTATTACATTGCAAATCGATTAATGCATATTTTTTCATCTACAATCTACATTACATAAGAAAATACGCGATCTAACTTAATTTTTATCAATGTTATTAATGAACAAGATTTAGGCGTTGGAGCAAATTTACAAAATTTGTTTTATTCATAAATACAGAAACTTAGCAAAGGTTAACCTAGTACGGGTTCTACGGGAGTATTATTTACTCCTAGAAAGTAGTAGGTTTGCTTATTCTCTGTATAATATGAATTTGGACTAATACTAAAATTGCAATTTTAGCGTAAATCAATCAATCAATCAAAGGATACATAATCGTTGAATGATTTTATGCTAAAATGAACTGGAGAAGTCACGAATGACCTAATAAGGACATGAAGTAATAGTTGTTAAACAGACCTAAGGCTGTCCCCTAAGTTAAGCGAGTAGCGGAAGCGCGGACTCGTTTTTCGAAATCAGTTAAGATTCGCTGTTTTTTGCCAAATAATACTAGCAAATAATAATCTATAGTAGACCATCCGGTATCTGTTGGAGACCAAAATACACGCTTCACTTTGCAATCGCCCTAAAACTCGAATACTGCAGATTAAAGACGGCTCATCACTAGTGGCACGATCTATAAGTAACTTGAAACAATAAAAAAAAATATGTATATTTCGCACATGACAAAAGTATTGGAATCGGAGGTTTATATCGTGCTTTTTCTCTGTGGTTTTTTATGTTACAATTGATAGGTTCACGAAAATTTCGTTATTTCGCTGCCGCAAGGGAATGAGTCCACGTACTAACGTCCTAAATGTAATGAATATGCAGTGGGCCCCACATACAATGTACAGTTGTTAACTTGGCACATTTAGTCCCAGTGCCCGTCACTCGTCACAGAGAGGGTTGCGTAAAGTCACTGCGTCACCACTTGGTCACTCCCACACCATGACGCGGTATTCCCTGTCCACGTTATCCACGTAGAATCCATTCAGATATTGGCTGGGCAGGATCTCCGATAGCTGAAAACGTCCCGATTAATTCACTTTCAGTTCATTTATAATGAAATAATGTGTGTATTTGATACTTGATACGTATAATAGGAATCGTATAAGCGATTCTAGTGCCAACTTTATTAAATTAATTCAAATCTACGACAGATAAAAAAAAATATTTATAAACATGTTATACTATACTTGTTCCAAATTAGGTAAAAATAAGGATACCTTTATAAAGTCACTTGGAAACACGACATTTTTGTTTACGATGTTCCAACTCTTCCAAACTTATTACAGCTTTTATTTAAGACCTTATTATAAATAAATATCTTAATGCAACAAAGCTAGATAAAGTAAGACAACGCTCCAACGAAGCGTGTATTCCACTTCAATCTCTGCAATGTCACGTCGACCCTGAAGTCTAAAGAATCACATTAATGAATAGCCAAAGGCACATCGGGTTATCCATACATTACGATTTAAAGCTTCAATGCTATCGTAGTTAGATTGAAAATCGACAATTTGTCGTAACATGATATCCTGTTGTAAATGAAACTTGCACCAATAGTACCTAGAAATATATAAATTTGTGAAAACTTGCGCTAAATGTATTTGTTGAGACAGCTGTTTCTGGTAAACACTATAGAATAAGAAAATTCGACTGAGGCTCTGAAGGCCATTCGGGCTTCTGCTGATAAGTGTTTTAATTGTCTGGCCGACTTTTACCAGTACGGAGATAAAATAATAAATGAGAATAAAAATAACTCTTGATGCTTTAAACTCAATTTCCTGGTACTTTTGGGTTTATATTATTACTGGTGATATAGACACATAATTGCATATATATATATATATATATATATATATAGCAAGATCGTTATAGTACAGTGAACGTAGGGTATTTTCATGACATTTTATCACCTTAACAAGATCAACTGTGTATGTTAATAAAAACCTTTATTTTATTATTCATAATATTAAAATTTGCTATGTAAGAGATGTACACATTATGAGTGTAGCACATACCTTATTTCTATCAAACTACTAATACATATTAGTTAGCCGTAATGATAAGAATGGCTAGTCTTATATCACACAATGACTGGACCAAAAAATTTAACTTGTGAAACATTGATATCTATCAAATACTAGCAGTTTGGTAGTCATTCTTGTTTATCCAATCAATGCTAATTAGAACATTCATCAATTCATCACTCTAACATCATTCGGTAGTCATTTAAAAAGCTACAATTTCAAAATAGCTATATGAATTTGAAACTAAAGCATTTTATTGGTTAGTCAAGTCTTATCATTTTGTAGATGATAAAATTATTGTAGTGTTAAATCAATAGGTTATCGTAAATAAAAAAATATGTATGAAATGTATCACAGATTGGTTTAATTGCATTCAATAATTACATCTCTTTTCAGTCCATAGTTTCATCTTAATCATTAAATGTATACCTACCTTAAAGTTAATTTAATTTTCTTTCATACGTTATTCTTAAAATTATCTACAATAAATTAGCAATAATGTATCCCTTTGAAAACTTTACCGGCGGAATTGTAGACCCTCGAATACTTGTATAACATATATAATCTGATATCGGTAAACTATTTCGTGAGCTCATTATACAAATAACTATTATTAAAGTCTCTACTCTACATTTCTACAATAAATATTTATTAATATTTTAGAATTCTAGAGTGGAGAATTTTGGAGCATTGAAAAAATCGTTTAAGAAAATAGTTAAAATATATAAAAAAAAATATTTTACACAAGTATAAGTGATGAAACTAGCTATAAGTCAAAAGATTTTTAAAAAGCTATGATATTTAACGATTGTTTTTTATACGTCATCTAAAGGAACAAAATAGGTGCTAGCTTATTTCCTGTTCCTATCATGTGGTTTGTACAGAAGGTGGTCTATAATTTTCAATAAAGATTTTTTAAAGTATTTATACGATTTGCAATCCTAAACACTTGTCAGTTAAGTCCACAATAGACTGTGGAAACGTCAAGAGTTTGTGGTGCACATATAAATTATATTATAACTTCTTAATCATATCAATTGTAGGTACTGTATCGATTTTTGATTTAGTAAGCAATCGGATACGAAATTATGTTTCTAACATCAAATTACAAATATAATACGTGATAGATCACGTAAACGAGCTAACACCATCCTTAAAACATACAAATATCAAATTTATAATATAAATACATTGAAATTCTTGACAGGACTTGAACCCGAGAGTCGTGCCATTATTGCGTGACTGTTCCACTACTTATATCTAAGCTACTAAAGAGCTTAAAAGACTATCAATATAAAGTTAAGTTTTACAAACAACCAATAATAAATAAATCCTTTCTTCTTATTTCAACACTAGCAACGAGTACATAGATCATTTTTAAAATTTATATAAAGATGTGAACTAGTACTTTCTGACTTTGTCAGACGATCTAATAAAAAAGGAAGATAATATTTAAAAAAAGGATTGATTCAGGTAAAACTTATTTTCGGCTTAGCTATGCTACATAAAATGTACAAGCAGGATAAACACAAAACTTTTCTAAGCTTGAATAACTCAGATCGATTAGCGAGAATAAAAAGTTCAACCGTTAAAAAGAATTAGTTCAATCGGTTGAATTATTCAGGTGAACTAGCAGGAATGAGCGGATTCATTGATTTAATGACGTTTTTATGACAACACACGGAGCGCGAGAATCATATCCATACTACGAGTATAATATTTTATCTATTTTGCATTCATAATGCTAATGAACGGAAATCACAATGAAATGCTTAAAAAATCCTGGCTGGTGGATTTTTAAGGATTTTTCATTAATAACATTATACTATTTACTATTCGTACAAATTAACATGACACTTAGCCAGAACGACGTTTGTGCAAAGTACAGTGCGCAAAAAACGTTATCATTTCTAATCTAAAAATATACGTTATAAAAAAAAACAAACTAAGATAAGATAATAAATAAATTAAGATAAATAATAATAAATTTTATTTTAATAAATTTCAAGTTCTTAACAAAAATGTGCAAGCGCATTCCAAAGCTTGATATTTCAGTATATGGAAGTACTACGGGTCTGAAGGTACTGAGTAATGTTTGCAGTTAGTACGTACTTCAATATACTGAAATATTGAGCTTTAGACAACCATTGCACATTTTTGTCATGACCTTCTAGACGTCCAAACTTAACAAAAATCCAATAAACATAACAACTAGAGCTAATCTCTTGCTATTATATATATATATATATATATATAAACATGCTATCGCTACTGAGCCCGCAATAACGATGACTGGGCGGGTTAGCACGGGGAGCCAGGTGTCATGTTAATTCGTACGAGAAATAAGCTTACTATCTCTCACTGTGAAACGATTTGACTAGGCTAAATATTTTTATTCAAAGCTTCAGACCAAGGATTATACCCTATTACTCATATCGGCACACATTGTACAAAGTCTAAAATTGAACTATAACTATAAGTGTGTGTCGATATAACAAGGTCTCGGTTAATATTTCATCTCAACCCCACCCACAAACATTACATAGCGTGTTACTATTAGTTATTGATATGTGTTCATGTGTACGTCAGGCAGCGCGCTCTGGCGGCTTGGATGGACATGACCTCTGCCAGTAGCGACGTTTCATGCCCACGCGACTCTGCAGAGAGATACACTTATACTATGCGACAGGGGATACTGTACACCGCAATGGACGATTTCGACACTAGTTTATAGGCAACACAAAAAGTTAAATGTTTAACAATAAGATTGGTTTAAGCATGCAGTTTAAATGAACTATGATATGTAAATAAAATACTTATGCATACAAAAATTGGTATCCTATATACATAGTTAAATATAACTCATTTATAATTAAATTTCGGGAAAATAGTGTGATTTAAAATTTCCAAATTACGAAAAATATGTGTAATATATTCAGTGGTCACTTAAAAAAAACCTAAATGACATAAATAACCTAAAACCTTTCCGAAATACTTCGACTACCAAGAGATTTATCATAATAAGTGATCATAATAAACGTGTAAGTCATATGCTTTGACTTAAAAATTTAAAACAGCAAGTATTGATGCAGTATTAAAAAAAAAATCTCAAATTCTACTAACTTGAATTGTTTGTAATTTTCAAACATATTGTCTATGATATGCATTCCGATTAACTTTATGATGTAATAAAAAGTAATTCATTTTATAACATTAATAAACAAGTCATTATCTATTAACATAGTTTTAAATTGATAGATATAGAATGAACAGCAGAATAGACCCCTTTATGTATGTATGTGTACAGTCGACAGGTAGTTCAGATACCTTAATCTTTTTAAGTTCAAAATAAATTTCTGAAAGTTTTTTTGTAGTAACCTGAAGTCGACGGTGTGTAATGCTGTGTGTACAAAATTATTAATATTATAAGATAAATAACATACTTAAATTATAATTAACAACATTCATAGTCATTCAGTATATATTTTGTTATAATTATTGATTTCCTACACTTTAAGATCTCCATACATATTGAGGATATAAAATTTTGACTATAATAGTAAATATTTGTCTATGAAAAAAATACATTATATACTAATAAATATATTATCGAACACATTGTTAGAGTGGCACTAGAATCCACATCCAGTTTATTTAATTAGGGCAATCATTTTACATAACCGAATTACGCAACGGGACCTTGAAATCTTCACACTTATCAATAAACACAAATTAACATAATGACATTGGAAACACAACAAAATAATATTATCACATTAAACGAGTAATTGCAACGATTACATACTAGTGGCAAAATGATGACCCTAGTTATAAAGTTTTAGATTATTAGAACGATAGATAGCTATTCAAACATATATTACTAATAATAGAAAAACTAAACTGGAAAGTTTTTCTTATCCTGACTCGATATTAAATAAAAATAATCTCTAAATATATCAACATCAAAATTTCCCAGTTTAAAAGCTGAGGCGGGACAATAAACAGCGGTTACTTTTCAATTTAACACTTATCACCAAACAAATAAAGATGATTATACGCTAGCCAGGATAGAACGTGCAGTGTATGGGACTTACCACGTTGGGCGCCAGTCGGAGGGGCTCTACTTGCATGCTATCATCCTCGTCCTCTAACGCACACCCTGTAACGACAATATGAATCTTAGTACACTATAATAGGGACGTTTTTAAAGCACAGTTTTATTATTATCATTTAAGGGAGGAAATATCAATTTTTTTTCTCGGATACAAGAGGCATGAGCCCAGTTGCTTTAGGCTATGTTCCGATATACACTGCGACCACTGAACAGTATGACGTCAATTTAGTATACTGGAAGCCAGTTCCTTTATAGCTAGTTATACTGGTGACTTTTTAAAACGGAACGCAGTCCAGTATACCTACTGTTAATCCTATTTTTTGGCGCCATTTTCAAATTTGTTAATGCAAGGTGAATATAAATATAAAGATTCCCTCTTTTCAAAAGAAAATATTACAAAATTGGAAAATTGTATAAAAAAATTATTTATTCATTTTATAATAAACGTAAGTATTTTTTTTTTGTTTATTTAGAAACTTATCATTTTCTGATTCTGTTTCGACTGATCACTTGATCAAAAGCACTGTGAGCACCTTACCTCGAAATCTCCAGTGCTCACAGTACAAATATGGCGGCAATTTATGACGTCATGAATTTCCCTAGGGTACTGTAGCAGTGTATTGGCAGTCCATAACGGAACGGATTTTTCAGCAGTAAGACCACTGCGCAGTGTTCGCAGTGTATATCGGAACATACCCTTAATATACTGTACAGTATATCATGTATATCTAGCAATAGAAATTAATTAACCTTTTATGTATAAAATGGAACCTTCCTCTGTACAAGTTTGTGAGTACGAGGGACATTTATTTTACAATAAAATATAAAATTGAACTATTTGTAAAACAGTAATATTAGGTATATGTAGAAATATGATTGTTCTTAGAAGAAACATATTTTTATACGTACTGCACAGGCAGTGTGAAATAAACGAGTTAACCGTACACCTGTCTCATTGCTATTGATATAACAGTATTTAAATAAAGAAAGTTAAAAATTTAGTCTTATTAATGCAATTTTTGGTTCAATAGAATTTTACAGCAAGAATTTTACAGCAAGAAATTGGTTAGTGAATACATTTTTTTTAAAAACACTGGTATCATCATCAGCTCTTTAACGTCCCTCCTGCAGGAGCTTAGGCCTTCTTTATGGACGGTTAAAGGGGACGGGCTATGTCCCTCCGCGCTGATCCAATACGGATCGGAGGATATTAACGTCGAGGTAGGAAATCGATAAATAAAAATACACACCCTCCTATGCATTTGAACCACACAAACAAGTATTCGTTACACGCATACGTGTACTCTGTGGTCAAATTGTTTCTTTTGACATAGAGTTTGTTTGTTTGTTTTTTAATATTGGCTGCGTACGGTTTGTGCATTTAGGCAGCGTCAAGTTATATATGTTTACCATAGTATAACTGTAAACGAGCTATAACTGTAACATATACCTCTACGACTGGAAGTTATACTTTCAAATCATATACATATATATGTTAAGCATAAAAAACATTTATTACTTTTTATAACTACTTTTTACTATATTAAACTTTTGTGAAATAAACTATAAACACAGGGACGTCGTTTACCTCGAACAATAAACTCTCCATAGATGTAGGACAAGACCCTACATCTTGTTGGTCCTTCGAATAACTGTGCACGTGGACTATTTACGCGTTTCCGGTGTGAAAATACGGACAAGACGCGAATGTTCCTACAGCCTTTTAACTACCTACATCTTGTTGTTTATATGTTTTTGATGTTTACTGTGATCTTCCCGAAAGTCAAAAGATATTCGATATCAGTAATAAGTTCAAATTGAAACTGAGTATTATATTATTATTCGTGCACTGACCGTCGTTGGGCAGCGTGAGCCAGAACTGCGCGCGCAGCTTGTACCAGAGGCCGGGCGGCAGCGCGGCGCGTGCGCCCGCCGCGGCCAGCGCGCGCGCCGCGTCCACCAATAGGGAGGCGCGCCACGACGCCGCGTACGTCAGGCGCATCGACGACTGCGCCGCCGTCGAGCACACCATCGGGTACAACGCCTTGTGCCGACGCAGGTTGTAGAACGACACGCCTGATTGCACATACCAATATTTATTTATTTATAAAATAATATAAACAGTTGTCAACTAGCCTAACGACCGTGCTGAAAGATGCGAGGTTGTAAAGTGTTCGTTTGTAAAATAATGACAAGTTGTTCTTTTTTGTTTAATCTGTGCGAGCGCAAGTCGTAATTGAAGAGATATGTAGTGCCGGATCGTTCTTTAAACGAGTTCAACCTTAACTCGATTGGTGAAAATATGTAAAGTTCCAAATGTTCCAGCGGAAAATTATATTTAGCTCTATTTTTTTTTTATTTAAAGCAAAACAACAAATTACAAAAAAAAATCATAGAACGGCAAACGCATTCACATTGTAATTTTTTACAATAATACATGTTTGCTGCATTTACAACGGTATAACAACACCTAAAACCGATACAAAATGTTCGTAGCTATGTTATTTTGATTATTTTCTACATTAACTCGACCAGAAATTTTACATAAAGACCTCAGAAACGACGGCAGATAGAAACCGGCGTGCGAGTCACTCGGCTCTGTAGAGTCTATCGGCACAATATCTTCTGTACCAATAATAACTGGAGTTTGTCCAAAATAATATTAATGTTTTGTGAGAAAATCACGAGTGATAATGATAACCCCCTGCTACCCGCGGCAGTGTGTAATAAAAACTTATTTTGTATGTTGCTATCCAATTCTCTTATCCGACGATGGCGACGACCTTTCAAACTTTCTCCGATTTTAATTGAATGATTCTTTCCATTATATATTGAAAACAACTAGGTTAATAAATTTTTATATTCGATGTATGTAATACTAGATTTCTAATACAATAGCGACCTATTTAGTGGGATAAAAAGTATCCTATTATCTAAGTCAGGTAATATCCAATATGTATACCAAACATCAAAACATCTAAACAAAGAAACTGTCACATATAAGTATATATTAACAATTACACAATAGTATACTCGATACCTTTTGTATGTAAAAATGTTTCTGGTAAAGAAATAATTTTATTATTATTAAATGATTGAATATCAGAAAAGGAAAATATCGATTGTGAACAGCAATTCAAAATCATAAACAATGCAAAGAAAAACAAGACAAGCATTCCGGAAACGTTGTCGGATTGTAATATAATCAACCGGTCGCATATTTACGAACTGACTAGCTGTTAGTCCGCATAAATTATATGGCCTATGTCGTCCGCGTATGTTGTAGCTTCCCGCGGGTGAAAAAATTCACACGATCCGATCAGTATTTCTGAAAATTACCCCATAAAAACAAACAAACCTAACCTCTTTATAACATCAGTATAAACAACATACTATATAATAGTATTCACCATTTCTTGCGTTAAGAGACTCGCGTCAAAGAATAGGGATGATGACTGGGTAAAAAAAGTGCAATTCTATTTAGTCCGTCAGTCAGATAATAAAAATATTAGATACGTATTTTTTTTTTACTTCAATTGAACAAGAAAAAGCTTAGATAACAGGCATTAAAGTTGAGGAGTGGGGGCTCGCTACGTCACAGTTGAGTAGTAAACGTACCCTAACGTGACGTCATGCGAAATTTCAATTCCTTGTAACGACGTAATTTTGTGATTACGAAAAAAATAAAAAAATACGTGTTTAATATTTTTTTACACTCTACCTGACGGACAAACAAACAAAAATTAGTCATCATCCCTATTCTTTGATTTGTGTATGGTGATAACTTTAACTACGGTTTAGTTATGAGACTAACGTGCGATACTGTTATCACGTCGAATTATAAGGACAAAGTCAAAACATTAGCGTTATACTAGACAATGTTATTGAAGAAAAATCTGTCTTATCTCGATTTTAACACATCCGCCTGGATAATTATTTTATTTATAATGTTCGCTATGTACAGTTACGATAATTTATTGGGGGTCAATGAGTTCACCGCGGGCAGATTAAAATAACGTGTCAAATAATCTGCATTTTTGTAATGATTGCTAGCCATTTATTACATAAGATGATGTGTGGGGGACTCTAAAATGTCTTCTTTTTACAAGAGCGAAGAAGGGCGATCTTCGTTGTTCTTACGTATGGTCACAAAAACCCGCAAAGTGAAAATTAATTAGTGCCTACACGAATCTTAAATCAAATAACAAGGGTAAAAATATATGTGCGACTTGAAACACAACCCGTCATTGTGTGAAGTCACTCTGGCAACAGCTGTCTGAGTAGTCTTAAACAAATGCCTATTAATTATAAATCGAATACTTAGATGACAATCTATTAAATCTATGCATCTGTTTTGTGCATAGAGTTAAGGTTTTGTGTACACATCACAATGACATGCATATGACGGACAGCGTATACGCGGGTACAAAAAAAGTTTATAAAATAGGAATATGATGTATTCCTAGATGGCGCTGTTCTTAGCTTATACATTTCTTTTTATTTTGTTATCGACAGTTAGATGGCACTATCCTTGTTTTATTGACATCTTTTAATTTACTACTCTGTGCATCTTTTGTATCCATACCTGAATGACGTCATAAATATGTTGTACAGCGTTTTCGAGGGTTTAAAATATATTTAAAATTTGATTTAATTATAAATCAAGAAAGTAGGTTAAATTTTTCCAAAATAAATAAACACGAGTACTACTATATCCGTAGAGTAGATTAGAATACCCTATTAAACACGAGCAACATAATTGTATAGTTTACCTTGAGGTTTTCTGTTGATATAGAACTCCAAGGTGCCCTGCCACATGTCGAGGCGCACGCCGATGATGGTGCCGCGACAGAAGCCGGCCGCGTCGCGCATCACGGTCGCGTCGTGCCGCAGCGCGCCCGTGTACGACAGCCCGTACGACTCGCCGTCCGCGCCCAACAGCGACGTGAACTTGAACTGGACGTCGGCCATGTTCACTTTATCTGTACCCACACCGACCATCTGCAATCATACGGAATCACTACAACGGATGTTCACAATTTTTTTTTTGAAAATGGATCTCTTGCGGTACCCTTATTTTTTTACGTAAATCTCTGAAAAAGTTAATTATGTCCTGTTTATATTTTATATATAAATGTAATAACATTTAAGAGACCAATTTGGGTGAGTATTTGTCTATAAATCAGGTTCCCAATAATCTAACCGCATCCAGTTTGCATCAATAATTAACTAAGTGAAACACCAAAAAATTATATACTTAATATTACCTACAGATAACTTCCTACTAAAAAAAGATTTGTTTTACATTATCATGATCTTGGAAGGCCATCAACCAGTATTTGTAACTAGTATATTATATAATCTCTAAAAAGATAAATTGGTAGACATAATTGTAACATTGAAATGTTAATATTTACATTGTCTGGTAATATTGGCGTCCTGCCTTTTCGCCGAAAATTGTTTGACTGATTATCATTTACCAACCAATGTTTCCCTGTTTTACTTTGAGAACTACAGATTAAGAAATTTTTGAATGACAATGTTTCATTTGGTAAATTCATTATTATGACAAAAACATTTGGTATATTTATCATTTGTCCACTCTTTCACTAAGCCACCCACACAACTTTTAGAAATAACATTTCGTCAATACAGTAACGCCACGGGCTTACGCGATAGGTAACGTAAAAAGGTAGAGATTGCCTTTTCGGGGATTGTCGGGGTTCAACTTTGTATATAAATACATATAAATTTTATATGTATAAATCGGGACCAGAGTCTCAAAAATAAACATGTTTAATAAAATGTTAGAAAATGGAAAAATTCCTTGGCAAGTGATATTCGACTAAACAATTTTCAGTGAAAAGGAAGAGTACTGGTCTGTCTGACTATGACCATATATACATTAAAATAATTACTAATATTTGTATGTTCCTTAATTTTAATGTCATAGTAACTATAAAAGAGTATACATAATAATATGAATTATTGTTTTCCATTAAATTAATACCCAAATACAATTTCCTGACATTTAGGCAAAATGCCAAATGTAAGAAAAATTTGTAAAAAATAGCACCCATCTCACTGAACTGTGCACTTGGCAATGTTTCACAACCTTGAATATTATACAAACAGTACTCATTACAATTACCATGCAGTAATGGATACTATATGGGCACTCCTTTCCCAAGAAACTAGACAACAAAAGAGTTTTTAATGGTTTTCACATAAGATTACAATTTTTTTTTAAACAAACCTTAATATTTATTCTTTAATTACTAATAAATTAGATCAGCAAATTCTTATTTTTTCTTACATAGAAATAGAGGGGTCAACATAGTACCAAAAACTTTTGTAATAAAACTCTACTAATAAATGAAAGGCTGCAAATCAAAATTGGTTACAATAGTTTTTATTTAAAATCTGTGCCCAATCACACCCATATTTTCTTATAATATTTGTAAGTAAGAGGTCCATTTTGATTGGTTTTTTTTATGAAATAAGATAGTTTTGGTGACTTTGAGCTTGGTTTTTTTATATAAAATAATTTTGGTCAATTTTGATTTGTGGCACTTCCTTTTATAAGCAGTGAAATGGATAGCACCTAAGAGACAACATAAACCAAATCTTATATCAATCATAAATAAACCTGAATAAAATATACCTATATTATAATGATTATGTATGATGGATATTGAAATTAATTATATTAGTCATCAAAAGTTCATTAAACTGATAAAATTACATAAATATTTTTTTAGAACACCTTAAGTCCTTAAAATAAGCCATAAGATAAAACTATTAGATATTAAATAAACATGTATATGTATAGAGATAAATGAAAGGTGTCAGGGCATTAACCTCTAAATGATTTCTTACAATACATTTGGGAATGGGACTATTTTTGGTAAGTAGATCCAATACTTAAATACAAATATAGTATGTATTGGACACAACACCCTGACTTGAAAATATAAATTTCTCTAATTAAACATTGATAGATTAGCTCATGTGTTTAAAGCCTAGAAGCTGATTGCAGATAGACAGAAGGAAAAGAAGAAAACATTAATCTGACAGGAAATTGAACCTTCAACATCAGTAATGGAGACCTTAAAACAGGTGTGTAGGCAACTCATCCATGGAAGTTATCAAGATAATTTCAGTTGTAAACACATATGAATTATGGCACATTCCTGTGTTGTTACTTTGGCCCCAAATGGTCACTACCCAAGTACACTATAGAGATAAAATTTATAACTATATGTTTTTCCATGACTTTGCCTTTATAAATCGTAGCCTTCATCCCCCATGTATGATGTAACTGCTGTAGGTGAAATAATCTTAAAAATTGGTCTAGTGGTGTCAGAGTCTATTTAGTTTTAATAAACAAACAAATAATTCCTCTAAATATTAATCTAAAGGTGTACTCACAATATCTGTACCATATGTTTCTGTAAGCATCTTCACCTCCCAGTAGTAATGGTAATTATGGAGCAGCGGCATATTACCACGAACGGCAGCAGTGCCCGAACTGTAGAATGGATGAAATGTTACTTGTTTCTGATCATCGCTTATGACCACCCAGCTGGGACCACTTGTCTCAGCCTGTTCCCAATTCCATTCATAGCCTGTAACATGGCAATGTTTAACCAATTTGAAGACTTCAATAAAATGCTATTCTCTATTTGAGGAGGGTACAATCATTACATTACAAATTAAATCACTGAAGCAATATTACGGATGTACCTAACTGGAAAAATGTTATGCATAAGTAGTAATTGTTGCATACAAGATGACAGTTGAAAAATAATTTATTTTGTTTAGACAACAAACAAATCAGTACGTAGTAGTTTGAACAGGCAGACAGGCAAAACAAATCTCTAGGCTACTTCTGTTTTGATATAGGGACATTTTAACGTTTGGGGAAAGACACGGGCTAGTATATTTCGAAAGTATTTGTGTTTCAGGGAGAAGTCGCGGATAAAATAAACATAAGCAACTAGAGGAATACTATCCAACACTTTTGATATGAATATATTATAAATAAAAATTTACACTTACAGTCTTTGTCTTCTCCACAAGAACAGGAGTTCAGCTGTCTCCACGACATAGGAGCTCGTTGATTCCAACAATGACAAAAGGGCTTTGCACGACGGTCATTGTCATTGTTCGCTCTAGTCTTTGGAGGTCCCATTGGTGAAATAAACATTTTCTTTTTATTGTGAACACGATAAAACTGTCAATATCGCTCTTAATAGGTTAAATTCATTCAATTCACTCAAAGAAAATTTAACACTACGTTTTAATCACTCAAACAACACAATCAGCACGACACAATACGTCAACACTAAATTTAAAACTGATGTTGGCAGCTCTGGAACTTATATTTATAAACTTTCAAACTTCGTTCAGAAATCAATTTACTTAAAAGTATCTACAGACCGAACCAACCGAAGAGAAAAATAATTTATTGAACTAGTTGAGGAACCAACGTAGAACTCTAATACGGGCACTAAACATATCTACAAAGTGTGAAACAATTTTTCAGTAAACATTTACATAACGTTTAAGTGACTTTTTAGGTCTACCAGATTTGCTTTCAAATAATTTGTAGCCACATTTGTCGAAAAGATAGCTAAAATAGAATCGATCGAAATAACCAATTTACTATTAGAATATTTTAATCTACATAAAACATTAGTTACATTAGAGATATTAAATTAATATTGACAATGTCAAATGAGTAATAGACTACATACTACAGACTACATAGATACTACATTTAACCCCTCCCTCAATGTTATTTAGCTTCTAACAAAATCAGGTGTCTTCATATCACGTGGCGACCGACACAAAACTTCAGTACCTTCTTCTTGAGTGCCAAATGAAGAGGCGAATGAAGTATGAAGGAAATGAAGAGCGTCAGTCTCTCTAGGAAAATGATATATCATCTGAAACAGCAGATATATCTACAGCATCGAATCCCTTATTAGTATTGTAGTCCTTAGAACTGGACCGGGAATCAACAATCATAAAGATATAGAATCTCCTGTCGGTGATTGTCGTGTATGGCGAAATAGACGCTTATGTGATGTGTGTGAGTGACGCTCATCTTTTCATTAATAGCTGTGCACAAGAGTGAGCAAATGGAATATAGATCTAAACCATTTGACTTAAGATTGAGTCTAATAGTTTTCGAAAGCTTCATATTTAAGCGTTCCACCTGACCGTTTCACTGAGGGTTGTATGGAGTAGTACGGCTTGAGGCAACACCGTATTTTGCTAACAATTATCTAATTTCATCCGATACAAAGGCTATTCATGTAACTTAATAAAGTACTGCAAAAGTAAAGAATAAATATTTAAGACATTTAATGTCAGATTGTGAAGATAAAAAAAGACATGGATGCCTATCGTTTGTATGTGTTGTTCACGTTAATGCTCCGAAAAGTCATAGGCAAAGGAGTCGTGAGGAAAATCAATACTGAGACGTTGAAAAGGCTCTGTAGCTTTAATTAAATGACTAACACCCATTTTCACTAACCTAGAACAAAGCATAGCTTTACTTGAAAACGCCTCATATTATGATTCGCCTAAGCATATTAATTTAAAAATATTTTTTTCTTTTATCCCTTGATATATTTATGAGCTGTCATATAAGCAAATGCCTAGCGCACCGCGCCAGTTAACGAATATGATAACTTCAGACATTGCTTTATTTCGTTAGGTGGTTCCTAGTCAATGGTGAAATGCATTTTTATTTTAAGCGATTCCTAAATATTTAGGCGACAGATTTGGGCTGTGAAAACGGGCGTAAGTGCTTTATTATATCGTGGCTTAATTTTTGCACATAAAGCACACGCTACAATCATAGATTTTAGGTTCTTAATCGAGTATGGTAAATTCTTCGTTCGGATCCAATGCAACATTCTTACAACACATAGATGGCACAATAACTTACACAAGTCATATAACTTGTTAGTACTAAGGCTACCGCAAGCTCGATATACGATATCATACTTAGAGCAAGACAACTCTAGCCACCATCTCTTATTTTTGATCTTGCTCTTATGTCTCTAGTCCATATTAAAAGATACTGATCTTTGATCTGTCAATAGCAAAAAATGTCTGCCAACTAGAAAATGACGCCACTTTCGTAAAGACTCAAGGATAGCATAGGCTTCTTTTTTAATACTATTTCTATGCGTCATTTAATGATCGTGGAAGAAACGCCACTGGCCTTTCATTTTGAAACAAGGTTCCACCAATAGCGTATTCTGATGCATCGGTTTCTATCGTTAAGAGATCAGTTTCATTTATACTCACAAGACCTGTCTTGGAGATATCTTATAACTTGAGCTCTCCATGGTGATACGCTTGGTTCAATTTTTCAATTTAATCTTTCGATAATATTTTAGACATATTTCTGTAAAATTTTCCCAAAAACGGAAACATCAAGAAGGTGCATACCAGACGTAATTTTTGTTCCTTTACGAATAACAAATTATAATATGTGTAGTTAAAAAAATACATATATTCGTTTTAAAATCATCATATGATATTCTTATTGTGAATACAAAATTAATCACTTATAATACCTTCACAAGATCATAATATTAGTGTTGTTAATCACACTTATCATATAACATCTATTATCTAGCAATATGTACCACAAGTATTGTTCTGTGTACTAAGATTTTGATTCGTGTAAACACTGGCCTATCAATTCCTAAACAAAAGGTATGAATTGCCACTACAAATAATGTTACAGAAATAAACTAGAAGGTTCCGGAAGTTTCATTTCATAATGGAGATCAAGGTTATCAAGCGCAATTTTTTAAATTGTTTTGTCTTATGTCGTTTCATGATAGTTATTGGGAATGAGGACTGTAAATAAGAATAGTAATACTAATACTAATATATATAAAATATATTACTGAACTTTCAATAGATCACAACACAAATCACAGCGAATTACAGGAAACGACACTGATATTATGAGCCCAAACCAATTTTTCACTGTGATATTTTGGCGAAAAAAATATCTTTATATTACTTTTTTATAATATAAAGTAAAATATGTTTAATATTATTAATTTCTTTATAATTTTACAGACTTAATGCGGAAGTTTGGTGTTCAATGAGAACACTTGTTAAATTGAATTATCTAGTAACGAAGTTATTTTTCTTTAATTATTTTATTAAAAACGTGACTTTTATTGATTAATTAATGTGACATTAGTATGTACTTCAAATTATTATTCAATATTATTTGGAATTCAATTGACAATAAAGTTCCGATTTATTGATTTGTATACGATACGTTGGTAGAACTGATTGTTTTGATTTGCGTTTCGCGCACCCCGCCCTCCTGAGTGGTAAATGAAATGGCTGTCATCGCGTACGATCGTGAAAGTTAAATGATAATATAATTAACGTGTACCTAAATTATGTGTTGATCTTTAGAACAAATGCATGTATATATGCAACTATTCAAGTTATAATCTAACAAGACTATAAAAGTTAAAATTTGGTTCTATTAACAAAGATTTTTATGTCTCATATTTCTTGTTTTATAAAACAATCTTAGTTTTGTAAATTCTAAGGTGAAACAGTGAAAAAGTGTGTTACATCTATTTGTAACTAACTATTGTAAACTAACTAAGGATTTTGTACAACTATGAGTATGAATACTGAGGTAAGCAAGCAGTAACGAAATAATAAAATAGCATTTGTGTATATTTCACCAATATTTATATAATATTTCTTTCATTGGGCAACCAATAGTTAGCTTAATGCTAGTTTCTGTATTTACAGCCGCGGCAGGGGTTTCGAAAGATTCATCTATAAACTGACCAAGTTTAGAACAACATACACACCTCTGGACTCCAGGAGGCGCCCCGCGAGCTCAGATGCATTTCTGGATAGATAAACGCAGCCAGTGTGCTTACAGCGGCCGGCACCGAGTGCCATCATCTTTGTCTGCTGGTATATATTCATAATTTATATTATATTAATAAAATGAATCACTAAATGGTTAGTAACTTGGTGGCAATCCGTCTTTCGCCAGCATGAAGGATCATGGTCCTTAACCATCCATAAAGAAGGTCTGAGCACCTGCAGTGGGGATGTAAAAAAGTGGCTCATAAACTCATGAAATGGATAAAACAGCAGATGAACAATTTAAATAATTGTAATTATAAAAATACATCTTAGGTGAAGGTTTGGCTAGTAATAAATAAATATATTTATAATTCGGTTTTTTTATTAAATAGACAAACTTTGGTATTATCCCTTTTACCCACTTTGCTTCCACAAAATATGAATTGCTTCCACCAGCTTAGAAAAGGAATGCAGGGGTAATATATTTAAGAAAATAATTTCTTTGTTTAAAAATCAATATTATGCGAGATGCGCCAAATATTCATTTGATATCTTTTCACGTTCGTAGTTCGTATTAGTATTTATATTTTCTTGGCTACACAACATGGTTCAGAACTAAAAGAAAAAACTTCATATGTTACCTTTATTTTATATTAGCTAGGTAAAAGAAATCCTATGAAAAATGTGTTCAATAAAACTCAATAAAATAAATCAATTAAATTTGAAATCATAAATATTTATTTTCTTAACTCATCATCACTATAAAAAATATTATATCTATTAAAAATAAAAGATAAATAGAAATATACTTATTCTGGTATTTATAATTAATAGTATATTATGGTGCAGAAACATCAAGCTTTCTTGCCTAACAAAAGTTAGGGTTTTCTTCATATAGGTTCCTTATGTTCACGATATACATGCTATATTTTAATTACAAATAACATTTAGAAATACTGGCTAAAGAAAACAAGTTTATGGTAAACCGGATAAATGGATCGAATATCTGGTTCGGTAAAGGTTAAAACTAATATTATTTGGTTATTCAGTGAGAGCATGTCTCTAATTATAATGAGGAAGTATTTTAAGAAAAAAATGAAGTACAGTCGAATCCGTTTAATATGACACCGCCTTTAGTGACCAACCGCTTATTATGACGTAATTACACAACGAAGTTTGGTTTTCATATAAAATTCTTGAAAAAACGTCGGATATAATGACTTTGCTTATAGTGACATGTCGGTTATTATGACCCATTTTTAATAAATTATTTCCGTTTATAATGACCGCCTAGACTTTTTACACTTCCGATAATTGTCGGTGATT